CCTTTCTATTTTTAACTTGATGTTTGCATAAGGTATACGAGTGCACTTGAATGCATGTTTTCCTTAAATTATACATGCATATTTGTTAACTATTCTGAGTATCTTTTTTTTCTAGGAAACATTAGAGAGACAGAGAGAGGAAAACCCTGGGGCCTCAACGTGTAAAAACTACGAAGGAAAATGTAGGTCCCCTCTCATACTATTAGGAGTGGTTTTAAATAGTGAGGATTTGGAGCCCTATTCAGAAATTGGTTTTCTTCAAATCTGTCGTCAAAACAAAATGGGGAAAAAGAGACTTTTCCTATACGTTACATACTTATATAATATGGCTAATCTTAATGTTCATAAGATTGCAAAAAACACTTATTCACTTATATATTTCATTGAAAAACACTTATTCACTTATATATTTCATCTCATGCAAATACTGCAGGCAAATACTCAGAACAAACCACTGTGCAACCACTGACTTGTATGGTATTATTTTGCATCAGGGTTTTTATAGGTATTTTAAGTGGCGACATAACCAAAGTTTCACCTGAAGGTCAGTTGTTTGAAATACTGACTTTACATTTCCAAAGGAATGGGGCTGGCTGATATTTCGGGATATTAAAACTGTTTCCCCCCTTCTCGAATTTTCCTCTCTTTCTCCTCCCCAATTCCAGTGGGCTTGGTGATTATGGCCTCTGGGGGAGGGATATGGCAGGGGAGAAGCAGGTTTTGTGGAAAATGATCGCAGGGGAAGAGATATGTTGGCCAAGGAGTGTCCTATATATATATATATATTATTTTTTCCGTCACCATTTATCCCCTCTGTGCCCTCTTCCACCTCCCCTTCCCCCCCCACAACCACCACACTGTTGTCCATGTCCATGAGTTCTCTTTTTAAAAATCTTTATTGTTGAAAGTATTACATATGTCCCCCTTTTCCCCCATGGACCCCCTCCAGCGAGTTCTCTTTTATTTTTTCTACATTATTCCATCCCCCCGACACCCCCACCCCCGCCCCAGCTGCTGCCTGCTCTCTAAGGGGAGAAAAATTTCTCTTGGTCAATAGGGAAACTTCCTCTGGACTGAGAAAAGAGGCTGGAGGCCCTGAGTGCAGAGGGCCTGTTAACTTCCCCACACACCACCGAGAGGCTGCAGGCTGTGCCAGAGGCAGGAGGAGGAGGGGGCGGGGGCAGGGGCCACATGGAGGGGGTGGATGACGCTTCCCTGGTAATCTGTGCAAGCCAAGGCCTGGGCTATTTTCAGAAACCTTTGCTCACATATATATGAGGAAAAGGGGCAGCAAGTGGAGGAATGAAACTATGTCAACCAATAAGGCAGAGTGGAGTCTCAAATTCAGAAATTAAGTTGTGAAAAATAAAATATTTCTTGTATTCCTGAGTTTGCACAGTCCTACAACGGTACCAGTATGCGATCAGTTACAGACTAGCCCACAGAGCCCTTTTTACATGTGACGTGTCAAAACACAGCAAATTTATCATCAAAAGAGTAAAACATGCCTGTGGAACTTAACAGCAAACCTGAATAAAAAGGTCTTTATCTGGATGCTGGTGCAACATGAAAAGCACATTTAATAAAAGGAGAATGAGGAATTCGATGGAAATAAGGGACTGCTAGAAAGCTAAGCTAAGTGTGGCTTTGGTGTCCTCATGTGTAAAATGGCACTACTATTCCCCCCCCCAAAAGGTTTTCTTTGAGAATCCCATGTGATTATGTGTGTGGAGTGGTTGGCACAGATTAGTAATGTAATAAATGTTAATATTAAAGCCAGAAGTTTAATTTCCAATAGAAATAGAACTCTTAAGAGAACAGTTGTTTACATTTGCCAATCAGCATAGTCTCCTCCAAATTTCATTTTAGTTATTCATTTAACAAGTGTTAACTACCTACTGTTCTAGCACTTGAATACAGTGAACAAAATTCTGGAGTTTTCATTTTGGCAGGTGGAGTGGAGGTGGACTCAGCAATTTTCTGAGATGGGCACTGTTGTCATCTTCATTTTACAGACATGACATTGAGGAACAGAAACCCTTTCACAAGGTCGCCTAGATGAGGAAGGACAGAGTAGTGATCTTGATTGAACAGTCAGTCCACCTTTTTTGTATTTTTCTAAGTAGAGAATTTAGGATTTCATTTTCTTTTAAAATATATTTTTATTGATTTCAGAGAGGAAGGAAGAGGGAGAGAGATAGAAACATCAGTAATGAGAGAGAATCATTGATCAGCTGCCTCCCACATGCCCCCCCCCCCCCCCCCCGGCCCCCCCCCCCCCCCGCCCCCCAGCCCCTTCCCTTGCACGCCCCACACTGGGGATCAAGCCCACAACACGGGCATATGCCCTGACCGGGAATCAAACCATGACATTCTCTGGTTCATAGGTTGACGCTCAACCTCTGAGCCACACCAGCCGGGCAAGATTTCATTTTCTTCATGCAGTGCTGTTCCCGGAACTACCGAGCTGATGGGGTTGGCTGCCCCTGCCATCACTTGAGGTGGTGGTGATCCTGCTGCCTGCTGTCATTTCCCACAGAACCTAGAGGGCTTCCCACCTGCTGCTGGCGTGGCTTAGGTGCCAAGTGAAACTGTTGAGGTTTTTGAGGTGAAATCTGAACACAGACTCCTGTCTCCCTCCAGTGCCTTCCCAATACAGATGTGACACCATTCTCTCCTAAAGGGGAAAGTGGCATCTATTTGCTCTAAGAATGAGCTGGACTATCACGGCATCATTCAGAATCAGGCTAACCTGGAATCCAAATCCTCGGGGAGAATTAAGATCGAACTCACAGCATGATATGCATGGCTTGAAGGCTTTGAAAAAAAGAGGTGATAACCCAGTTCCTGGCTGGACTAACTTAGCTCCCAGCTCACTTCCAGCCACGACTACTTAAGCTGTCCTCACTGACAGAATGCAGCCCTTTGGAGGGGTTTCCCCTCTATGTAAGGATGATAGTTATTAGACATTTATCACATGACACACAGGCTCTGTACTAGGGACCCACCAAAACCTTCTGAAGGCTCAGCACACCCAGAGGACGGACTAGTAACCTTATATATTCGGTAGTCTCTGTCTTGGAATGTATCTATTTTTAAATGCTAAGTAGTGCCTTACACTCATTCAATCCTCACAAAACTCAATCCTCACATGAAGTATAGACTCAGAGAGGTTAAGTAATTTGACTCAAGCTGCACAGCCTTATAGGATTGTCAGGCTTTGAACCCAGGCAAAGTCTGTTCCTTTTTTAAAAAAATAAGAGCAAGCGTTTTAGCGACATCGGTACTTTCACGATTTATAAGTTGCCTAGTTCATTCTCATTTAATTTCCTCCCCAAGAAGTGGGGAAGCACTTTTTACAGGTCAGTCCCAGTAACCTGTGTTTAGTAACCTGTCAGAGGGGATGGTGTGTCTGGCGAGGGTATTCTGAGTCAGCCTGGAACCGGGCCCACTGGCTGTTCTTTGCCCTTTGACTCCGGCCGACCTGGCTTTAGCCAATTGTGAAATCTAGGAACGCCTGCCGAGTGGGGAACGAGGCGCCAGGAGAAGCTCTCTCAAGACCACAGGCCCACGGACCTGCGGGATCGATCATTGAATTGCATGCTCCGCACAAATCCGAAGGCTATCTGCAGTGACTGAGAATTGCCTTTTCATTATCTGCAAAGGCTGTGGGGTGGGTTAGTTGCGCGGTGTGGGTTCCAGCCGAGAGAACGAGTGCAGTTAGTAGCGTCTCGGGTTGCAGCCCGAGGGTGGGCGGTCCCGCCGGTTACCTGTGGCCAGCACGAAGGCCGGGACGCTGTGGAAGCGCACCGGGCCGCGGCTCCGGCCGCCCTCGCACTGCACGAAGGCGGCCACCAGCCCGCACGGGCAGTGGATGTTGACTTGGGCCTCGCGGGCGCCGGCCGGGGGCGCAGCCACCAGCCCGAAGTCGAGCGCGAAGCGGCCCAGCGCCAGCACGGCGTGGCCGCACATGGAGCTGTAGCCTTCGTTGTGCAGGAACAAGACGCCCAGGTGCGCGTCCGGCAGCTCGCTCGGCACCAGCACGGCCCCGTACATGTCCCGGTGCCCCCGGGGTTCGAACACCAGCCGTCGCCGCACGTGATCCAGGTGCTGGCGCATGTAGCGCCGCTTGGCCAGCAGCGTGGGGCCCGCCACCTCCGGACACCCCGCCAGCACGATGCGCAGGGGCTCGCCGCCCGTGTGCATGTCCACCACCGACAGCGCCGGCGTGCCCGGGTCGTGCGGGGGCAGCCGGGGCGGCGCCGGCGAGCGCTCGGCGGTCTGCATGGGGAGCTCAGCTACCGCTCGGCTGGGCGGCGCGCGCTGCCAACCCAGGGCCCACCCGCGGGCCGGGCGCCGGGGAGGTAGGACCCGCGGCCTCCTCGGGGGCGGGGCCTCGGAGCCCGGACGGGGAAGCGCGAGGCGGGGGCGGAGCTTCGGAGCGGTCGCCCGGGTTACCAGGAGGCGGACCCGCCGAGGCGTCCGTGGCCCGGATGTCCGGGCGCAGCGGGCCCTGCGGCTGATCCTGGAGCTTCTCCAAGGAAACTTACCCGCGGCCCATGGGTGAGTGGTCGCTGGGGTCCCGGGAGCGTTTGCAGAAGCCCCTGCTGTTTGCCTTGGCTGCTGCGCGGGGCTCGGCTCATCCTCGCTCCTCGCTCCCCCACCCCTCGCCGTGGGGGCGCGCCCTGCACTCTCCTGGGGACGCGGGTGGGGTCGGGGGCCTCGGCTCCCGCCCGGATGCCGAGGGGAGGCCGCTGCGCGCGGGGAGGGATGGGCTAGGCCTCCGTGGCTGCGATCGGAGCGGCCCTTCTGTCTCCGCGTCAGTCCTGGCTGAACACTCACCGGGGTTGACTTCACAGCTCAGGGCGCGGGAGCAGAGGCTGATGGCCGCATAGCGTTGTTTCCCGCTTCAGCGTCAATCGTGGGTGCAGGGGCCCGTCACAGAGATTGCAAAAAACCCAGACAGAATGCTAGCTGCAGGGAGGGTAAGGAAAGTGATCGGACGCTGGGAGTCGGGGTTTGTTTGGCTGATGATAAGCTGGTGCTGGCTTTCAGGACTTGGGGTTTGAGAAACTTGACTTACATTCAACTAGATTTATTAAACATCTACTATAGGCAAAGCCTGTGTAGGAAAACTTCCAATTCTTTAACCCGGGGCTTCTCAAAAAATCAATTCATTTCCGACTATTAGCTTAGAACATGGTGATTACAGTTGGTTTAAAAATAAGCGTCAAAGAAGCCCGGGGATTTAAAAAAGAACCAAACTCAAAAATTTGATAAAAGTGAAACGATTAGACTTGCGGCATTTTAGTCAGTGTTATTTCTGTTGTTTTTTTCTCAACTGCAAAAGGAGAAAAAAAATCAGAAGTCTATTCAAATTTGAAAGGAGAACCGGCATTGTGGACCAGACAGTCTCTAGATTGTGAATTCATGAAGAGTTTGGGAAATGATTGTTCATCATAATTATAAAATGCATACTTTTCTAATTAATTTGCATTTGACCACAGTTGTTTTGGAATTATTCCACGCGAGGCTAAAGGTTCCTGAAGGCAGGGACTGCCATGTCCCTCTGTGGATCTTTAGTTGTCCCTGACCAGTGGAACCTGACATTTAATGCATGTTCGTTGAATGAGTGAATCAATGAAGGAAGGGAAATGTCCCTGATGAAAAAAAACCAAAACTCTCCTTCAATAACCTCTACCTGTTGATGAGGTCAAAGACAGTCGGTCGGCCCTGAGTGGTTTCGTAAAGAACAGCTGCTTTTAATTTCCCCCAAGCCTCCAGATCAGGGGGTTGATTCAGGCAGTGGTTCCAAGTATTGGTCAGAGTCCCCGTGACAGCCTTGATGAAGTTGTCAGCTGTCCTTGACAAAAGTTAGGACAATGTAAGTAAGCCTTTTCTAAGGGTGAATCTATTTACTCTAAAGGCCCGCCCTTTATTCTGAAATTATGTTCTTTCTGCTTTTCTGGTATTAAACTGTGTCCTGTTATGGAAGAAGGTGATAGTAGATAGTGTGTGTGTGTGTGTGTGTGTGTGTGTGTGTGTGTGTGCACTTAATGTCCTGACTGAGCAAAATAAAAAGTAGTGATTCTCTACTAATCCTCTTATTAGAAAACCATTTAAATTCAGAAGGCTAGACCCCCTAATCAAGGGGAGTGGCTGGCTGGAGCTACTGGAGACAGGCCAGGTTAGGCTCTGAGTTCCAGGGATACCTGCTGACCTGCAGGTAGAGGACTGAGGGTGTTAATCACGAGAAACAGTATTAACAACAAGGTTCCAGTATAACTTTGTGCAGTGTCATGTCACAGTGTAAAGGAGAAATTTAATTTTTAAAATAAATGCACAAGACTTTTGCCACGGTACATATGATTTTATTTGAAACTGTACTGAGATATTTCTGCCAAGTGCTTCAACTAGTATTGCATTATTTGTTTATAATCACAAAAGATGTTACTGTACTGGCATTTGTTTTTAAAAAGCTGTCGATATTCAACCAGCATGCCTTGGACTTTACTGTGGGAAGACCCTATTATTTAAAAATGGCTCAACTGAACTGTATGGAGAATGTGGGGTAAGTCTTAATGTTTGTATGTTCATTTGTAAAATCTTTTTGCTTTTGAAATATTTTCGCATGTAGTATATCTTTTTTCTTCTGTCTACTCATTAGTTTCTAAAAGACTATGTAGGCATTAATAAAGTTCTTGTGTTGTCATGTTGATTGTCTATAATACATCTTTCTTTACAGTCGCAGTTACTGTGTTTTTAAGAACATTTTATAATTTTAAAGTAATTTTAAATTACTTTTTATTAATGATATAGTACAGTGACTTGGATATGCAAGTCAGTTAACATTACAATTCCAGAACACTTGTTTGCAATTATTTTTATACGATGCTAATAGCTAAGTTTGTCATTTAATATTAGTCAACTATTTTAGTAACTTAGTAAAAGGACTCCTTTTACAGTTGGTTTCATACAGATATAGGCAAATACAGTGTAGATTTCTTTTTATTTTACTTACGCTTTCTCTTTTTTATATCTGGAAGATGCACATGTAAATAGATGTCTAAACAGAAATGGGACATTTTATAGAAAGATTTTGGGGGTGTTAATGTTCTAAAGTAATATCTGTACATAAAATATTATTTTTATATGTTGTAGGTGTGTCCAAGAGGACAGAGAACAAACGCACAGAAGTACTGCCAGCCTTGCACAGAGTCTCCAGAGCTCTATGACTGGCTCTATCTTGGATTCATGGCTATGCTTCCCCTTGTTTTGCATTGGTTCTTCATTGAATGGTACTCGGGGAAAAAGAGGTTAGCACTTCCTATGAATGTATCTGGATGGACTGACGCTGGAATAATTATTAGTCAGAATCAAATAATTATACTTCTGTTGTTTGTTTTAAAAGTGGTAAGCCTGTTTTGGTTGTATATTCTGATTACTCTTGATTGTGGCAAGAAAACTTAATGATAGGGCATGCCTCAATATGTATTGAGGGAAGTATCCTTTATCTGGTTTACTTTAAATGAGCTTGAGGGAACTTTTTTTTTACATATCTTTCTTTTTTTGTTGAAGAAATTGAAAACATTTTAAAATTATTATCTTTGTTGTTGTTTTTTCTTTACAAAGAATTGCTTTATTGTTCTAGAACTAGTACTTTGTGATTTAATTTACTACTAGTAATCTAGTGTAATGTAGTTAAAATGCTATAACTGCAACCTCGTTATGAAAACTCATACTATTACATTATCTCCATAAGCATTTTTTAAGCACTGTGTTTTATGTTCATAAGACCAGAGGAGGAGACACACAAATAACTGACATGGTTTATAGTCATAACCTTTTAGAGAAGACAAACGTATATATAACTGAATGTAATATAAGTCAGTCTTAAAACTATATAAACAAAAAGTGTGTAAAAGCACTGTAAGCAAAATGCTCTGGAATCATGAAGAAAGGAAGAGATAAATTGTGCCTGGTAGGATCTGAAAGACTTGGGGAAAGAAAAAAACACACACCATTTTAGGCAGAGGAAAGAGCTTGAGCAATGACATGGAGGTGTGAAATGTGTGCCCTGTTAGGGTGGGAATGGAAGTGGTCCTGGGTGGTCACCGTGTGGATTGCTTATGAAAGAAAGGTGATGAAAGGAGAGTGGGGAAGATAGGCTGCGGCCAGCATGTGAGGGTTCCTGATGAGGATGTGAATTTTATTCTGGGAATGAGGACCCAAATTCTACCTTAGCTTATATTAGCCATACTATGTATGACTTAGTGTATATGGCTTTTAGTTCCTCTAACATCTCAGTATCTTTCCTGCTTTAGGTCCTTTTCCTTACCCCAAACTTTTCTCTGCCTGAAATACTTTCTTGTCCCTCTAACTGCAACTTTTTGCCTAACCGCCTCTTCCCCCCTTCAGTTTAAATTACACCTACTCGGAGAGGCCTTCCCTGACCCAATCTAAAGTAGGTCTGTCCCTTATTTTTCTTTTTTAATAGCACTCTTCATTTGTTTTTGTTTTGATTTAGCACTCAGCACAATTTCTAGATAAGTTTATTTCCTCAGTTAGCGTTCCGCCCACCCCTGACTGCCAGCTCCAAGAGGGCAGTGGTACTCTGTCTTCCATGGAATCTGCAGAGACCAGCACAGCAGCTGGCCCGTGAGAGATGCCCACTTAGTATTTGCCGAGTGAATGATTTATTCATGAAGGTTTGGTTTAGAGAAGTAACATCCTTGGATGTGTATTTTAGGAAGATGACTTCTGTGGAGGGTAGATTAGAGGAGAGATATATTAGAAGGCTGTGGCCCAAGAAACAGTGATGGCCAGGCTCAGGTCCTGGGAACAGAGGTGGAAGATGGAAGTGGAATCAGCACTTTTCTGGATCCGACGTAATAAGTCCACGGTGATTATTTATGTTAGAAAAGCATTATTTTTCAGAAGAACATATGAAGAGATTTTTTTTAAAGCTCTCATCCTTTTTAAGATTTTTGTTACAGAATAATGAGAGATGACAATGAAAAGGATGTGATGCGCATAAAGCTAAAATAGAGTAAATGCTCAGTTAGTTGTTGGAACTTCTTGGCTCAAAGTAGAGAAGAGATGGGGGTAGCAGATGTAGCTTCCAAATGCATTAGAACTAAAACATCAGGTGTGTTTTGAGGGAGGATCTTGGAGCAGAAGGTAGAAACAAGCAGTGATCAGTGGTAGGCAGGGGAGGAGGTGGATTTAAAAAGGACATAACTGCTTTGCCTAGCAAGTTGGTAGCTAGTAACACAAGGGCCATCTTTCATTTTCCTGAAACGCTGCACTTTTTTCTTCTTTATTTCAGAGAAGAAGCGGGGGTGGGGGGTGGGGTGGGGAGGGAGAAAGAGAAAGAGAAAGAAACATTAATGATGAGAGAGAATCATTGATCGGCTGCCTCCTGCAGGCTCCGTACTGGGATCAAGCCCCAACCAGAGTATGCAACCCAACTGGGAATCAAACCATAACCTACTGGTTCATAGGTCGACACTCAATCACTGAGCCACACCAGCCAGGTGAGATGTTGCACTTTTAACGAAGGTAGCAGGGCCCTAGCTGATCAGTGTTTCTCAACCATTTTTCATTATCACATCTTTAAAAAACCTTATAGATAACCTTTCGTTCCTTAATTCCATCTACCCTCATGAAATTTATGTTTGTTTATGCAGTGTATGTATATATGTACTTTATTATAAAAAGTGTAGGAGTATTTTACCCATAAGGACCAGTTCTTGCCCCCTGGGGAGTAATATCACTATTGAGAATACGTAGCTAGATAATAATCAAAGTTCTCCTTTCTGGCACCCTTGCTTCTCCTAGAGTTTAGTATTAAATTTGTTTTTCTTTAAGACCAGGGCGAGATAGGCAGAAATTGCACATTTCTATGTAATATAGGCAGAAGCTTTGCTTCTTATGTGATTTGTATTTATATAATTTACAATTTTTCAAATATACTCATTCAACAGTCTTTAGGGGTATTTGCAATACATTGCAGGATTCAGAGATGACTAAATTGTGGATGCTCATGGTCCAGTGGATGAAATGACAAACCTTCACATATATATCAGGTCCTGTACTAGAGCCATGTGCAGAGATTTAAGGCTGCATGAAGAAGAAAGAAGTTAATTTTACCTTCTCAACTAGGATGGTGTCATAGAAGAAAAAACTGATTTTAAGCTGGACTTTGAAAAATAATAGTTTTTGATAGAATAATTGCAGAGTCTGTCAGACATAAAGAAAAAGATGTGCAAATGTATAGAAGCAAAAAGCTCCATATAATCAAAAAATGAGAGCTGAGAATGCTGTGGAAAAAAAGGGGGAAGGCTAAATGAGGCCAGAATATAAAGAGATTGGGACTTGGGGAGTCAGGAAATGCTCATAAAATGGGGGGATGACCCTAGAGCTGATATTGAAGGATGCAGTTTGCCAGAGGGGGAATATGTTTTGAGGGGGAGAGGGAAGCATACCCAGATCTGTGAGGGGTGAGTGGTTTAGTAGGGCCAGAAGGTGTGGACGATAAGGCTGGTGAGGAGTACTTTTCCTATAAGGCAGAAGGGACTCAGGGAAGTACTTTAATAAGGATAGTTTGAGGGTCAGGTTTCATTTGGTAAAGATCATGTGGTTAACTGCAACTGGATTGAAGGGGAGCATGATAAGAGAGCAGTAAGAAGGCTAAAACAATGGCAAGAAATGATGAGATTAAAATTTTGCCTCTAAAAATATGAATTCTATAAGGAAAGAAAAGATTGGATTATATACGGAAGTGTAAATGTTTAAGTATCCAGTTTTTCAACTGTGTAAAATGGTGCTAGGGTTCTGCTTCCAACAATATGGACTAATCATGAGCTCCAGGCGACCTTCCTGCATGACGTTCTGAAGTCTGCGGAAGACAAACTAATTAAGACGTTGCTGGTCTTCCTGGAGTTAAGGGAGAGGTCCAAGAACTCTTCTCTTTCAGAAAGCAAACCCGACCCAAGCTGGGGCCAGAGTGACAAAGCAGGCAGTGGGGATGGGAGGGTTGCCCGAGGTTCATTGTTGAAAGCAGCAGTGCTATTGGATACTGAATCATGGGCAGCCATGGCTAAGCCTAGATTCCCAAGGGGCTGAAGCCCAAGGTAGTCGTGTGCATGGCACCTGGGGAAAACAGTAAGTCCTTTTTGCTAGAAAGCTTCCCCATTCTCAATTTAGGCCTATAAGACTCTGGTTTAAGATCTGTTAATGATCTCATAATCTGTGATTAGTAAATAAAATAATCACTATGACTGAGCGTCAGTAGTCATAACAAATAATACATGCTCCCAGAGGCCTACAGATAATGGACTTTTAGCTACCGAGTATTTACCTGTTACCTTTATAATGTTTAAAGAAATAGAGGGTGCAGTCACAAGGATCTCCAGTCAGTAAGAGATTTGCTTAAAAAAAAAAAGGCATTTCTAGAAATGAAAATTTATACTTGTCCCTCAAAACGGTAGGTCAATTACTAGATTAAACAGTTGAAGATAGAATTAGTCAATTAGAAAAAATATATACAAAGAAATAATGCAGCACTGAGAGAAAAGGAGATAGAAAATATGAAATATGTTAAGACGTGGACCATAGAATGAGAAGCTGTATTATGTATCTGTATTACCTGGTGGGAATCCACTCCGGTTTAGTTAAACATTCAGACTTAAGAGGCTGTCACAGGTCGTACCCACTGCCAGTGTGCTCAGAAGGAACACGGCCGACAGCAGGGCAGCATCAGACATTTCTTGTCAGCAGCAGCTTTTCAGCGGTTGTGCTCAGCTTCGAGGAAATGAGATCCACATTGAGTGGGTGTGAGAGTCGTCAGGCTTAGTCTTACGCCCCGGAGGAGCGAGAGTAGTTTTGAAGCATAAGTACATGGGAATATAAACTTTAGAAAAAGTGCTAGCCCTGGCCTGTGTGGCTCAGGCGGTTGGGCTTTGTCCAGTGCACCGAAACGTTGCCGATTCCATTCCTGGTCAGAGCATATGCCCAGGTTGTGGACTTGATCCCTAGTAGGGGGCGTGCAGGAGGAATGTTTCGCTCTCACATCAATATTTCTTTCTCCCTCTCCCTTCCTCTCTCTAAAAATAAATTTAAAAAATATTTTTAAAAATAAAAAGTGATAAAAGACAATTTAATAGAAAGGTTAACTCTAGGGTAGAGACAGGTGTGTGGAATGGGGAGAAACAGAGGTAGATATAAGTTGTTATTGTTCTAGTTATTGGGTTAGATGGTGAGCTTACAGTATTTATTATACTCTATAACTAATATATTAGGTATAATTTTGGTGTACTTTTTATTTTTATTTATTTTTATTTTTTTAAAAATATATTTTATTGATTTTTTACAGAGAGAAAGGGAGAGGGATAGAGACTTAGAAACATCGATGAGAGAGAAACATCGACCAGCCGCCTCCTGCACACCCCCTACTGGGGATGTGCCCGCAACCGAGATACGTGCCCTTGACCGGAATCGAACCTGGGACCTTTCAGTCCGCAGGCCGACGCTCTATCCACTGAGCCAAACCGGTTTGGCAACTTTTTATATTTAAGATAATTTTAAAATGATGCATAAACAACTTTAAGAACATTTTAATAGCAATTTGGCGAGGCACTAAAGATAAGGGTAGATCTAATTTCTGCTCTTCTGCACATTCAGGTGATACTGGCATGGTATAATCCCTTTTCAGTAAACAAGTTAAACTCTTCTCAAGTGGTTTTCATGTATGTTTGACTTTCCTTACCCGTTAAGAAGATACTTTGTTTCAGGAGTCAACAGTTACAATTTCTTTACAGAAACCATATCTTGAATCATATCCAGGTTGTATGGAAAGCCGTTTAGCACTAACGGCTAATTTTGGGTAATTGTGCTTCTTCCATCTTGCTAGCTCCAGCGCACTTCTCCAGCACGCCACCGCATTGTTTGAATGCGGCGCGGCCGCTGCCATCACCTTACTTGTGAGTGAGCCCGTCGGGGTTCTTTACATCCGTTCATGCCGAGTGCTGATGCTCTCTGATTGGTACACGATGCTTTACAACCCCAGCCCAGATTACGTCACCACCGTGCACTGTACTCACGAAGCTGTCTACCCCCTGTAAGTGTTTATCTAGACTTAAGATCACGTTTTGAAAAATGACAATTAGAGATTTAATTCATTTCCATAGGCTTTGAGCATCGTAAAATGGCATCTAGGCCCTGGGGGAAATACACAGAAATGATTTTCTTCTTCTAAGGGATACATCGTCTGATAGGAGAAAATAGAAATACAGCTTAGTATAATAGAAGTGAAAGTGTTTTTGCGTTGGCGTTGAAGTATGTGTAAACACAAAATAAGCCATCTGTGCTTCTTAGAAAGGGATTTACAAGGAACACCTTTTTGATACGCAGCAGAGAAGCAATATCTGACACACGGGAAAGAGTATGGGCTTTGGAGCTGAAAGCAGGCTTGAGTTTGGATCCTGGGTCTGCCAGTTGTCCTGTTACCTCGAGCATGTTAGGAGCCTCTTGTAACTCACATTGGGAAAATGGGAATGATGATCCCTCCTAAGGTGAGTTTGAGGATTAAATAAATCCATTCAGATCAGATACTGTGCAGTGCTTCACGTATGGGAAGCACCCAACAGTAGCTGAAATTATTATTAGAGGGTTTGGGTTAATGTTCTTTCCCCCCCCTGTTTTTCTAAATAAATGTAATTTCCATCAAAATATTTTGTTTTAAAAATATCAAATTCATAACATTCTATATAATATCATCCCAGACTACATTATTTTTAGAATTTCTGTAAATGGTTGGTGTTCATTTGATGTGTTCTTTTTGGTAAAGGTATAGTAGAAGAGTCTGGTATTTATGTTCTAGTCATAGCAAGTGTTCATTACATAATATGCTCGATAAAATAGTCCTTTTTGAGAAAGTTCTAATAGTACTGATTGTCAAAATACACATGCACATATGTAAAAAGGTAATTTTCAAAAAATAAGATCCAGATGTAAAGATATGAAAATCTTTTCCACCTGCCCAGCTTTAAGCCCTATCTCTCTCTACATGTATTTATAGCTAAAATTTATATGTAAAGGACTGATAAAATCCCCTGATTTAATAGAGCTGTACCATCAGCTTCAGTTAATGAAATAATGGCTACATAGTATTTCACATAACATTTAACCAGTTATCTGTTGTTGAATATTTATTTTGTTCCTTAGTTTTCTTTATTATATGGTCCAATAAAAACCTTGTTCATAAAGTTATTTTTGTGAATCCCTGATTATTTCCCTTTGAAAATTTCTGCAAGTAAAATTGTGGATCGAAGGAGATAAACATTTTTTTAGGATTTTGGATACACATTTCCAAACTGCCTCTGGGAAGGGACCAGCATGCACTTTTCAGTAATGGTATGAGAGTCCTTTTGGGAAACTGTCCACCAATGTGACCATTCAATGGGTAGACTTAATATGCTTTTTTAACCTTTTATAGGACCTTTGATTTAAAAATGATCAATGATAAAGTATTTTAAGAGTATTTTTGATCATGTAATTCCTTATTTATTTTACAGCTATACCATTGTATTTATCTACTATGCGTTCTGCTTGGTGTTAATGATGCTGCTCCGGCCTCTGCTGGTAAAGAAGATTGCCTGTGGGTTAGGGAAGTCGGATCGATTTAAAAGTATTTACGCTGCACTTTACTTCTTCCCCATTTTAACCGTGCTTCAGGCAGTTGGTGGAGGCCTTTTATGTAAGTTTCTTGGGTAAATAGCTATATATTTATTATATGTGATCAACAATGTCTTCTCTGAGTATAATTTTGGAGCTTTTTCTTTAAAATGGAATTTTTTAATTCTTGAAAATAAGCCACAGTATATATTTTTGCTAAAACACATAATAAGCCTTATTATTTTTTTTTAAATCATGATTTTTTTTTGGAATGAAATAGAAATTCTCAGGAAATCAGTGGCAGCTAACCAAAACTGATTTTTATTTAGAGAATATTTTGTATTTGAAGCTTATAACCTAAACAGAAAGATTTTTAAAACCCAAGTATAAATTAGAAAATAAAAACTGGTTTTTGCATATAATATATGGAAATTACTCTTAGTAATGTATACTATTTATCAAGTTAGATTTTAGATTTCTAAATTTCTTTATGAAAACCTTTTAGATACAGTAAAATAATCTTCAGTTTATTTTAATACTAGAGGCCTGATATATGGAATTCGTGCACTCGGGGGAAGGGGGAGGTCCCTCAGCCCAGCCTGCACCCTCTCACAGTCTGGGAGCCCTTGGGGAATGTCCGACTGCCACAGAGGCAGGAGAGCCTCCTGCCACTGCGCTCACCATCCATGAGCCCAGCTTCTGGCTGAGCAGCACTCCCATTGTGGGAGCGCACTGACCGCCAGGGGGCAGCTCCTGCATTGAGCGTCTGCCCCCTGGAGGTCCGTATACATCATAGCGACCGGCCATTCGGTCGATTTGCATATTACCCTTTTATTATATAGGATAGCCATTCGTTCATTTATTCAGCAACCATTTAGACTAAATTGTTATGCAAAGGAAGAATAAGAAAAAGTTGGTGTTAAAGGATTCACATACTACTAGGAAAGCTGTAAGTAGCTTAGGGGACATAGTGTGGTACTTATTTGAATATGTGACATTGACTGGGATTTTGACATTGACAAGGATGTTAGATACCATCTTTTATACACTGCAGAGCCAAAAACATTTACTGTCTGGCCCTTTACAGAGAGCCTTTGCTGACCCCTGCCTCAGGGCACTGAGGCTTCCGTCTCTCACAGGACTGATTGAGAAAGTTTTCAATTATGGGGAGAATTAAACTTTTGAAATTTTTTGATGGTTTATTTCAAAAATTTGCTTAATTTTCAACATAATGCCAATGTTTGTTTTTCAGATTACGCTTTCCCATACATTATATTGGTGTTATCTTTGGTTACTCTGGCTGTGTACATGTCGGCCTCTGAAATAGAGGTAGGAAAAATGTTTTCCTTTGTTAGAGATTTTTTTTTTATGGGTTTGACAATTGAATAACAGTATAATACATATGATATGACATAGCACAACTGATTGTTTTAGTAATCTTTGGCTAGTTGATGTCATTACATAGCTTATGAAGGGTTGTATACTAGACTGTATTTGCTTGGGAAATTAGTGAAGTAGTCAGGCTCAACTATCTAGCATGTTGGAGAAAAAAATCACATAATTTACTCAGAAAATATTTAATTATGAAATATTGAAAACAACACCATTTTGAGGGAAACATAAAAATGCTTTATGATATGTAGAACTAATTTTACAGTACATTTTACAATGGCAACACTGTCATTAGTAATTATACAGTACATTCTCCACCTTTCTATATTTTGTCTCCAATTTTATTTTCTTGATTATGGATGTTTACAGTTGTCCTCTAATATCTATACTATTTAACACTAACAGTAACATTACTTCTGATACTGTTTCTGTTTTGAGATACCCATTTGCGCTTCTAACTTTTCAGTATTTCTGTGGAAGGTCACTGTTAGAAAGGACTCCTTATTTTGAGGCTGACCTCTGAAGGAATAGCGTGTCAGTGGCTTAGTACTATTTCACCCGAGCTTGCTAACCTAGTGCCCATGCACTGTCTTCGCTGCCCACCACACGTGATAAGACATGTGCCTGCTCATAATTCTTAACCTTAACCCAGGGATATTATATTTTAATTTAATCCAGAGAAAGTAAGTTGTTAACTATTTTGGAATGCTTGCTGTTGATGCCTCTCTTTCAGTTCATTAGTGAAAAGGTGAGAGAGAACGACTGACAGGGAGAATAATGTAGTAGAGGAACAGACAGAATATTTTGATGTTGATTATTCAATTGTTTCCATTTCCCCTTTATAATCTTTAATGATTGTCAAAATATGTATAATTAAAGAAGATAAGCAAATTAGTTTTAGCACGTTTTTCAATGCTAGGGAAATATTTGAATAAAATGAAGTTTGTGAATTTGTTCATTATCCATAACTACTATAGGTAGTAGTTATATTAGCTTGGAACTTATTTGTGTCCCTGCCCCTGGGGATCTCTCCATATAAAATGTTCATGTACTTCAATTAGGACTCCACCCATAAATCCGAGAGAGAGACCTGGATCAGGAAGGCAGTCTATAAGTCTAGCTTTAGGCAAGTTAAAGAGCCATTTAGTAAGAGAAAGTTAGTAATGGAATATTGCAAATTCCATTTCAGTATGTTTATTAGCACATTCAGCTATTACTTTAATAATAATTTGGGCCTTCCCATTTCTGCATATTATAGAGCTGTGTTCAAGAATAAAAAGAAACCAGAGTAGGTCCCGTGTCGTTTCTGCTCCCTTCTACCGGTCCAGGCAGCAGACCCCAGGAGAGCTGAGGTTAGGGAAGCTGGTGTGTGCGCCCGTTTCTCACCTGTAGACGGAGCTGCCGGGCAGGAGGAAGGCAGGTCACGTGGTGTTCCCCTTCCAGCTCATTCCTTCAGAAGCAGCCCTAGTGCTTCCCGCATTGACTCCGGTCCTGTGCTGCCTCAGGGCTTACGTGACCTCAGCCAGGAAGCCTCACCCTGCTCCTCGGCAAGTGCAGAGGCTAGCAAGTGCTCTCTCAGGTCCCTTTAGCGCAAAGTCTGTGATTGAGGTTATGACTTTTAAATAATACATTTAAATCAAAATATAAGTGATTATCTGTTTCTCTCTTCTTCCTTTTATAAAATGTTACAGAACTGCTATGATCTTCTAGTCAGGAAGAAGAGACTCATCGTCCTCTTCAGCCACTGGCTACTTCATGCTTACGGGATCATCTCCATCTCCAGAGTGGATAAACTCGAGCAAGACTTACCCCTTTTGGCCTTGGTACCCACGCCAGCCCTTTTTTACTTGTTCACAGCAAAGTTTACTGAACCTTCACGGATACTCTCAGAAGGAGCCAATGGACACTGAATATAACATGCCAAAACCCCTAAGAAGTATTCTTAATAAAAAAGTAAAGAAATTAAAAATGTATTAGTTCTCTTCTGTCATACATGGGAATGAGATTGTCAATATGTCGTAATGTTTTTGGTTGGTTTGATTTTGTTTTTGACCTAAGACTTTATGGTTAGACTTAGAAAATACAAACACTATAATACTCTCTTACATAGTATAATACACTATCCCCGCTTATAGTACTCTATTATATGACAGGAAGCCTATCTCTTGCAACAAGTTGGTTATTGTTTAGAGCAAAAACATGCTTCTGTTTTTATTAAGTACTTTAATAAGTATAATATGGAATTCTTAGCTTTGGCACAATTGTGCTTGCCTGATGTGTTTCAACCTGGCTTTCAAGTGTAATGAATTATAAAGACATACCTGTGGGGTCTGATAGCAAGCATGGAAATGTAAAGTATGTTGTTTTTTGTTATCTGTTTATTTTCACCAATATAGTCTTTTCATCAAAAATAGAGCATAATTTATATAACAGGTTTTCTGTTTATAGGTAGTTTGGTTGAAAATATCTTCATATTATTCCTGTTTCTGTAAAGAAAAACAGTAATGAAAAACCTGACAAAAAGTCTCAAATGTTCTGACATTTGTATTTGCCACACTAATTGTGGAAATTAAAAATATTAGGTAGTGAGATTAATGTCTTTTTCCCACGTGAATAAATACATGTACTCACATATTTCCTTCCTCTTACATCTTATTTAAAAAATTTGATTTTAGACAGAGGAGGGAAGAGAGAAAAACATCAGTTGGTTGTGCAGAGATGGAACTGGCAACCTAGGTACGTGCCCTGACCGATCGAATCTGCAGCCTTTCGGTGTATGGGATGATGCTCTAACCAACTGCGCCAGCCAGCTGGGGCTTATATATATTTTTAAGGATGCATACACATGCCACATTTTTTTGATCCTGGGACACATTTCTCTCCACAGTGGGACATCTCTGAATTAGGCTGCATCACACAACTAATGGCTTAGATTTAACAAAATGCAGAATCTATACAGCATAGGAACAGTTTTACTGTGGTTGTTGATAGGTATGCTGCTTGTTGATTTTTATACTCTGAATAGACTTACGGTTGTAACCATGGAAATAAGATTTTTATTTACTGATTCTGCTATTGGTGGGGGTTACCCAAGTTTGTTAAATCTCAAACTTTAAGACTTTCATTGACAGTTGCAAATTGCAAAAGAATGCACTCACTTTCTCTATAGTTTTGTTTATGCCTTTTGAATTCACAGCAGTTGTATCCTTGGAATTATTTTGTTATTTTTTCTTCATTACTATCTTTTTCACAATACGTGCAGCCACCGGAAAACGGACTTTTTTGGTACGTGTCTGTTTGGTTGTCTTTTCTGTAGGAATAAAAATAAAATTGTAAAAATTCTCTATGTATTTCAGACAGGTTTGGGTGGTTATTAGTGTCCATTAAAATTCTAAGTTGCTCAAAGAATCCCTCCGTTGGGCAGTTGCACAGTTGGAAAGGGGGAGGCCTGGGGGGTCATGTATCCGATTACCAGGACTGTTCTTTTCCCACCACATTTGGAGCCATCTTAAGGCATCTTCTCTGATGTTCTATTCTAGCAGAAAAGTGTGTATGCAAAATGAGAAATCATGCAGGTAATTATGATTACAACTCAAAGGCAAAGACTTTCAGGAATACTTAATACATATCTGCATTTTTACAGAGAGGAAGAGAGAGGATAAAGAGTTAGAAACATCGATGAGAGAAACATCAATCAGCTGCCTCCTGCACACTCCCCACTGGATATGTGCCCGCAACCAAGGTACATGCCCTTGACTGGAATCGAACCTGGAACCCTTGAGTCCGCAGGCCAGTGCTCTATCCACTGAGCCAAACCGGTTAGGGCCATATCTGCATTTTTAATTTGCACTGTGAAGAACAAGAGGAATAATTCATAGCACCTGTGGCTGCTAATGTTATTAATTAGCTTGTTAAAACGCGGTTATTAAGAAATACACCAAAACTACCCTTGTCTAGCTCAACTTTTGTCTTGATGTAGGTCCTTGTAGTATATTACAACTCACTGCTATAGTAATAATTGTGCTAACCAGTGCTGGATAGGTTATTTAAAGTCAAAATATTTTCTGATTTGGGTCAGTGTACCCATTTGTTACCTTGTTATCTATTTGCCTAAAACCACTGGTTTGCAAGACTTGACTGCACATTGGAACCAGCTGGAGAGTTTCTAAAAACATGCCTGGGTCCCAGCCCCAGAGACTCATGGTGAATTGGTCTGGGGTATGGGCCAAAGATTGTAAAACCTTCTCCAGGTGATTCTAATGTTTGGGAACCATTGTCTAAACCAGGGGTGGGCAAACTTTTTGACTCAAGGGCCACAATGGGTTCTTAAACTGGACCGGAGGGCCGGAACAAAAGCATGGATGGAGTGTTTGTGTGAACTAATATAAATTCAAAGTAAACATCATTACATAAAAGGGTACGGTACGGTCTTTTTTTTTTTTTAGTTTTATTCATTTCAAACGGGCCGGATCCGGCCCGCAGGCCATAGTTTGCCCACAGCTGGTCTAAACTCTCTTCCTAGTTCAGATTTTAATTTTTCCAAGAGACCTTTTCACAGTTTTTAGGCAAATGATTTTTAGATTATTTCTTACTGAAATTTTGATTCTGCTAGATTATAACTGCATTCTTTTCCATTATTAAATGATCAAAATACAGATAATTATATCAAGTTCTTGTCCAAAACAATAACAAAAAATAATTATATGATATTTGATCATTATTTTAAAATATCTCTTGATCTAAAAAGTCTCTACAGAGTAGACATCAAGTTAAAATATTTGGTTAGTATACAGATTGTTTATCTGCATTCAAAATTATAGTACAATTCAAGGACTTTTGGAATTTTAAAACATTCTTTTTAATGCTTTAAAAAATCCATATTCAGTTGCTATTTGGTTTAGGTATACACTACAAATTAACTTATTTACTTGTTTACCAGAAAGAATATTAAGGCAGAAAGTAACGATCTTAGATTTCAGGATGAAGCCTGGTACTTTCTGACAAGCTAACCCCCCACTCTCGCCAGCTGGAACCCCAGATCTCCACTCAGCCATACTGCTGCAGTTCTTGGCCAGGTGATCGGGGCTGCTCCTTTGGGAAGACATCCCTGTGTATTCCCAACACCCCAAAAGACTCCGACACCCCACTTTACCTTCCCCCATAGCCACTCATTAGGAGGAGTCCCCTGGATTCTAATCGTCTCTCGTCTCGTTCTCACAGTATGTGCCCTCTGACATTCATACTGGGTGTCATTCAACTCGGGCAGCCTTTGTTCTGGTGCCAGACTCAAGGGTGCTCACTCTGCTAATTAAGCTAGTGCAGTGTTCCTGGAGAGGGTCGGACCTGCTGGGCTGCAGGGACCTGATGTGTCCAGAAGAGGACAGGGGAGAGCTGTTGAGCTGAAAGATCAAGGCCTCCTTTAGAAGTCCCATCTGTGAGAGAAGCCATTCAACAAGAACATTTCAAAGCTAGGAGATTACAGGTGGCTCAGAGGTGGCCAGGTAATTCACGGGACCAAAGCTGACCTTTATCACCTCAGGAGGATGGTAAGCTTCAGGGATCTGATAAGTGCTTAATAAAGGTCTAATGCTTTCTTACTGCTGCTATCACTTACAGTTTACAACCAGGGAGGCTAAATAGCACGTAAGAAGCAAAGCTGCGATGTGAGCCCACATGGTGCCACTGCTCCAGGAGCAAAAATCAGTGGAGCTAAGGGGGCAGCAATCTTCCTTCAGATCTCAGCTCCATTTCCAGTTCTTCAGAGACGTCTCCCGACCCCTAACTAGGGCAAGTCTCCCTCTTAGGTTCTTAAGTTCTTAGGCCCCCCTTCAGGACACTTATGACACTGACATTTTACATACATCTGTGTAATACCTGATTCTCCCACCACACCAGCGGCGGACCAACTACACCTGAGGGGCAATTCTGCTCCCCTGGCAGAGTTGAGGAGTTGAGTAGGAGACCTTTCATGGCTGGCCAAGCCAAAAATATTGTCTGGCCCTTTAAAGTTTGCCGACCTCTGGCCCTGACTGATTTCCATAGGGCACGGACTAGACCTGTTTTCATTCCCTGTTGTAACTCCACAGCCTGATAGAATAGTTGGCACAGAATGGACATTTGATAAGTACTTGTTGAATACAGTTTAGAGTTGATAGTGAACCATGGATGGAAGTTAAAAGCAGGACCAACCAGAGGAAGGCAAATACGCTCACTGAAGGCTCCCCCAGGAGGCTCTGCGTCAGGCTGGCCGGCCAGCTTCCCCAGGCCCACAGCCTCCATCCGCGCACCGGAAGGCTCCTCTCTTTCCCAATAAACCTTGCCCACTACCGTCCCTGCCTCTGAATCTCTGCCAAATGCAAGTGGTGGTGACTGCCCGCCTTGCTGTCCCAAGTTCTACGCCTCGGCTTTTCATGCAGTCTATTTAAATCCGCCCCAACACAAAGATGCCATTAGGCTTCAACAAAAACGGAAGATGCGCTCATGTGAAAATAATGCAATTGACACTTAGAGATGATTTAGCTCCTCAAATTCCCCTGATCCACAGTTGCTGGGGATGGCCTAGCCTTGCAAAGAAAATACAAAGTGAGGCAAGTCCCTCCCACCAGGGACCCTTGAAGCACTCAGACCTAAGAAGGACCACCAGGCACCAGCAGGAAGACCAAGACAGCTTCCTGGCTGATACAAAGGGGCTTTCCCACAGAACGCTTCATTGGCTGCCTAAGCATTCCTTCTCCTGTCAGCAGTACCCTCAGAACACGGGTTTTTCGCAAATATTGCAACGGTGTTTAATCCCATCACTTTTTCTCATCTTAGCTTTTATTATATTTCATTTTACTTTCTACACCCCACCTTTATAAGTACTTATCTAATGAAGATGCTCTTTAAAATTAAACCTTAATGACCTCTACTAAACCCATATCCTTGCTGAATGACTTTTTTTTTTTCCATTTCACAACTCCATCGCTCTGCTGCACTCTATTCTCCTGCCTCCTCCCCAACCTTCGCTCCCTCCCTGGGACCCCCTGCTGCGCCTGTGTGAGGGCTGGCTCCAGGCTCCGCCGCCCTGGACAGGGCTCTGAGTTAGAGAAGGAATCAAGGAGGAAGCTGATATTCCTCTGGAGCCAGCGGTTCTCAACCTGTGGGTCGCGACCCCTTTGGCGGTCGAACGACCCTTTCACAGGGGTCGCCTAAGACCATCCTGCATATCAGATATTTATATTATGATTCATAACAGTAGCAACATTACAGTTATGAAGTAGCAACGAAAATAATTTTACAGTTGGGTCACAACATGAGGAACTGTATTTAAAGGGCCAGAAGGATGAGAACCACTGCTCTGGGGAGACCCGGCTGCTTGATTTTGAGGGGACCAATCCTGCGCTATAGGATGTATTCACATCTCACGAGCCCCAGAAGGCATCCCTAGACGGGGAAGAAAAGGTAAACTGATGCTCAGTATCTCCTGTTTATGAAGACAAGGAAATGTGTGAAAGAGTTTGGAAAGACTGCTTTGGAAAGTGTTCAAAATAAGAGTTTAAAACATCAGAAATAAGTTGAGGTTCCGTTAGGGAGAAAACTCTCTTAGGTAGAAGGGAGACTGTCCGGCGCTGCTGCCCTGCCGTGTTCGACCCTGCAGATGAGAATCGGTGCTCACCTGAATGTCTGGGGCATGATTCGGGGTGGGCTGTTGGGCATAACTACGTTACTAGTAGGCACGCTTATCTGGGGAAGGGCTTTCTGGATACCACCAGCTAGTAAAGGAGCGGGAAGTTCTTGGTTACCCAAAGCTCTTGAGGTGCTGCTTACCAGGAATTTCCACGGTGGCGAGGAAGCGCAACTCTTCAAGATTCCCTCGTAACCAAATACTGATTTTCTCTATTTTTTCATCTCTTGCACACAGCCTGTCTATTAGACTTTTTATTTCTTGCAAAGTATCTTCACAATCACCTACAAATTCCTTTAAAAAAAAAGTAGCATATTTTTGGGTGTGTATGAATTGCAATAAAATAAAAAAAAAAATATTCTGTCCAGGAAATCATATCCAAGACAAAAATATATATGCAAAATTGGTATGAGTCGTGCAAAATAAATATGCATACACAGCAAATTCGCCAAGTTCTAGAAAAGATCTCAGAAGAAATGGTTTAGTAAATCACTGAACTAAAAAATGTTTTCAATGGTTAATTTTCTTATGGAGCTATAATTGACATAGAACATTACATTGTTTGGTGGGTAAATACTTTTAGAAATATGATACTTACGGAGGTAAAACAAAAAACTCACCTTTATAGTAATCTGAAGTTCTGCCCACAAATTCAGATATTGTGCTAAAGTAAAGATTTTCAAAATGCACAGGTTACTGAAACAATTGGAACATTTTTATCAAAGAAATGCTATTTGTGTCTCAAAATTGTTTTGTGTAAAAAATTTCAAAATGACAGAAGAATTAGATCAGACTTGCCCTCCCACTGCCAACAAGCAGAGAATGGGACCATGTCAGCCAGGTGGGTGAGTGGTCTTCAGATGGCCCCAGCCCCCAGCTGCCGAGTTACCCGGACATCGAGCTGCCCCAGCTGAAGTCATGCGGAGCAGACCCGAGTTGTCTCCACCAAGTTCTGACAAAATTGGCAATTTGTGAGCAAAGTAAATGATGTGCAATATCTGTTACTGCGATATGCTCCCCTTTCTTCTCTCTTTAAAAATCAATAAAAACCATATCCTTGGTGAGGATTTAAAAACACATAATAAAATAAAAAAACACTTGTAGAAAAGTAGTAACCCCAAACTGGAAAGAATTCAAATGCCCTTCAGCTGGTGAATCCTATATACTAAAAGGCCAGAGGCCATAAACGTCATGACCAAGGCCAGAGGCCATAAACGACCACTAGACCACTCACCATGAGGTGGCATTGACCACCTCTCGGTCCCTACACCACTGGTCCACGAGCAGGGGCGGGGCGGAACTGGGGACTGGCGAGCGGGCTGAACGGCTGACCTCTTGGTCCCTGCCCCCGGCCCGCAGGCTCCGATGGATCAGCGATGGTGAACGGGGCAATCGGGGTGGGTGGTGGGAGAACCGGGCTGGCTCTCAGGCCGTTGGGATCACCAGCTCATCCCCGGCTGCTCAGGGGCTCAGGCCTGCGGGAAAGCGAGCGCCGGGCTGGCCGCTGATGGAACGTGCTACCTGCTCGGGGTAGCTCACTCTGGGGCAGGTAGGTCCCGGGCACGCCCCACAGCTTCCATCAGTGCTTCAAGCCCCAGCAGCAGCGGCAGGGGCAGCGGCAACGGCAGCGGCGCCTGCATGAGCAGCCCTGAGCGGATAGCATGTACCATCAGCTGCCGGCCTGGCACACATGCATGGAGGTGAAGTCGCAGGCACAAGCTTTCCCACCAGCCTGAGCCCCAGGGCAGCCAGGGATGAGCTGGTGATCCCAGTGGCCTGACAGCCCAGCGGCAGAGGCAGCATTTGGCCTGGGGACTGGCAAATGGGCAGGAGATGGCCCTGATCGCAGGAGGCTAGGCCTAGGGACTCTACCCACACGATTTCGTGCACTGGGCCTCTAGTGGATAAATAAAAAACATGGTACAGCCATGTAGTAGAATACTATATAGCTACATAAAGGAGCAAGCCAATGATACGTGCAACAACATGGCTGGGTCTTAAAAACAGTTCGTTGAGTGAAAGAAGCCAGGTACAAAAGTGTGCATAGTCTATCATTCCATTTCTATCCAATCCTTGGTGACAGAAAGCAGGCCAGTGGTTTCTAAGAACTGGAGGTCGGGTGGGACTACAAAGGAACACAAGGAATGAGAACGCTCTATATCTTGTTTGTGCTGTCAGTGGTTACAATGGAATGCACATTTATCAAAACTCATTGCACTCAAGATGGTGCATGTATTGCATGCAAATCAGTAAAATTTGATTTAAATAAAACAAAAGCTTTCTACTTCATATGTAAAGCTCACCCAGGACACATTACCTACCGTAATTAGCTACCAGGTGCCAGGACAGGTCACTGTAGATGTACGTCTTGGCTTCTTGTGCGTACGGCTCTATCTTGGTCTTCATGTATGCAATATACTGAAAATCAAAGGCATGGAATTGTTTTAAGCAGTTTCATTACTGTAAGCTAGTTCTCTGTGCAGTCATTCAGTAAACATTTATTGATCCCTCCTCTGTGCCATCAACTGATCTAGGTGCAGTGCTAACAGTGGTGAACAGCCCTGTCAAGCTTACATTCTAGTGAGGGAGATAAAGATCCTACTTTCTAGCAAGCATTTTGGCACCCAAATAAACACAGTATCTGAATATAATTTTACATAGAAGAAATTAAATGGTATTCTAAATGTACCGTCTCTCTCTCTCTCTCTCTCTCTCTCTCTCTCTCTCTCTCTCTCTCTCTCTCTCTCTCTCTCTCTCTCTCTCTCTCTCACACACACACACACACACACACACACAATGTTCCTTATGCAAAATGGTGTGCAGTGAATGTCACAGCAAAGATGCTGCCTGACTGGAAGAACTCAGCATAAGATCAGGGAGAGGGTTTCCTGAGGCAGAAGACCCCACAGAACCGCTCACTGGGCTGGTGATGGTGGTAACAGTGGTTGGGGTACTAAAGTCATGGCTTTCTCTTCTGACCACCCACTACTCAGGAACTCTAACGTCTCTGGGAACTCTGAAAGGACGGGCTTTGGGATGTAAACGTGGCACTGGTCCAGTTTCAAGAGAGAAATAGTAAAGACTAAAACTACTGAAAAAAATATAAGAAGTAGCATCCACCATAGAAGGAGATGACAGAGAACTGTTTTTCACCCCAGTGGTACGGGGTTTACTCATGCAGCCCTGACCTTGTGTCAGCCTTCGCATGGCTTGGCGGCAGATATTGTAGTAAACCAAAGTCAAGTCCAAATCAGCATTCCTGCCTCTCTTTGAACATGGATCACTGTTTGTAGACTTGCCTAGTTCAGCTGGCCTCCCGTAACTCTCAAATGAGTTAACACGCTGACTTGTAATGATCTATTTATAGGCCCATCTCCTTGGCCAGAGGGTGAGCCTCCCAAGGGCTCGGGCAGTGCCTTATTCAGCTCCATTCACTGCACCTTCCCCAGGGTTTGGGACTCAGTGGATGCTCAGAGTGTGTGTTGAGTGAAGATGCAAAACAGAATGGTGAGTGAATAAGATAAAAGCACAGGGTCATCCAGAGGAATCAGTAGATTGGGCACTTAATCCAAAAGCGGAACTTTTAGAATGACACAGGCATTCATTTGCTTACGCATTACCAAAATAGCAATAAAATTCCAAGTATTTTAATAAATAATATATATCACCTTGATAGGGAGACAATAGAGTGGAATATTTCCATGAGTGGATGGAATTCCTTATGAGTTTGGTTCAAGGGCTAGAAGAACAAAGATGTGTTGCGTGTGTGTGGGCGGGGGGAGCGGGGGGGGGGGGTGTTTACTGATGATGGTACCTGGGCTCCATGGAACACATTTCCCTTTCCAAAGTACCTTGGTACCTTTTACGCCATTTTAATTCTACCAAAAAATACACATGCTATCGGTGGGAAAACTGTTGTCATTGAACTAAGGACAACAATCTCCCAGGGAGCTAAAGGCATTTTCTCCTTAGAGTCTTATTGCTGTAGGACTGCTTTTATTTTCCCAACTATTAAAAAATTATTACAAATGCAGAGTCTCACTTTCCTCCTCTATAGAAGGGGCAGAATATATCATCCACGTTATAAGGTTACTGGGATCATCCCAGGGGACCGGATCCCTCTTACATGCGCGGGACTGCGCAAACGGCTGGCATACACCGACCCACTGCCTGACCCACCGAGGTCACGATGGTTCGCTGGGGGGAAAACGTACAGTCGATATGAAACAGACTGACAACCTAATTTTTAAACTGGGCAACAGAACAAGCACTTCGCAAAGAGGTTATACAAGTGGCCAAAACACATGGATAAGCGCTTCCCTCGTCATCAGGAAAAGACAAATGCTGGGACCCCATCGCACACCCGCCAGAATGGTTACGTTGAGAAAGACTAAGCTTCGGTGAGAATGCGGGACAGCTGGTGTTCTCCTACATTAACGCCAGAGTGGCCATCACTGCAACGTCTTTGGGAGACGGGCACTGTGCACGAACGCGGGCGGCACACACCCCATGGCTCTGTGATTCCACGTGAGTGTATGCCCAACAGAAAAACGTACATATGTTCACCAAACAAACATGTACTAGAATGTTCCTAGCAACACTATTTGTAACAGGAGAAACTCTGAACGCCTGTCAACAGTGCAAATAAAGTGTAGTGGAGTCACATAATCGAGTCCCACCCAGAGCTAAGAATGAAGGAACCTCAATGGCACCCGACAATAAAGATGAACCTCACAAGCATGGTGTTGAGCAAAAAAAGTGCGCACTGTCCCATTCCACGTGTATAATGTTCAAAAACAGGCAAAACTGGTCTGTAGTGATAGAAGCCAGGCGGGTGCTGCCCTTGCGAGGCGGTCGGGGACGGGAAGGGACTGAGAGGGTGCGTGGACACCGGTAATGCTTTGTTTCTTTTCTTTTCTTTTTTTTAATATATTTTATTGATTTTCTACAGAGAGGAAGGGAGAGAGATAGAGAGCCAGAAACATCGATGAGAGAGAAACATCGATCAGCTGCCTCCTGCACATCTCCTACCGGAGATGTGCCCGCAACCCAGGTACATGCCCTTGACTGGAATCGAACCCGGGACCCTTCAGTCCGCAGGCCGACGCTCTATCCACTGAGCCAAACCGGTTTTGGCAATGCTTTGTTTCTTGATCTGGGTGCTGGTCACCCTCGTGTGCTCATTAGGCTGTACACGTATGATTCGGGCACCTTCTTGTCGGTGCTTTAAGCTTCATTTAAAAGCTCTTAAGAGCTCTTCTCTCATAACGATTATAACCAGGACCACTGCGCACACTGAAGTGCTCTTGAACTTACCTTTTTCAACCTTTCATTTTCCAGGAGCAAGGCTTCTGTTTCTAGGTCATGTGCATAGATTTCATTTTCTAAGTTCTTCAGAATTTCAAAATGACTTTTGATCCTATCGCTTTCTTGATCTCGCAATTGTTGTAATTCTCGCCTCAGTTTACTCTGCTCAGACATAAAGCCCACAGTTAACTCACAGATTCAAGGAGCAGGGCACTGATACATTAGGCCACCTGGACCACGTTCAGAGAGGAGTCCCAAGTAAGTCCTGAACCATCAGCAAAGGCTATGCAGAACTTCCCGCAGAAAAACTTTATTTTAAATCCAAAAGCTGATTCATGGAAATTTATTCATGGACTTTGGGAAGCAGGTCCACAGACCCTAAGTTAAGCTGTTGAGACAACTTCACAAAATAGCATATATGTTGGTATATGAACAATTGTCCAGCAAAAGCAGGGAAGAGGAGAGTGAAGTTTGTTGAGGATTTTTTGGGAGGATTTAATATTTCTTGAAGGAAAAGAATATTACTTTATAGATTTTTAAGAAACTTTCTGTTTTCTAGACAATCTCTACAGTTATTATACTGTTATAAATCACAATCTTCATTCATTGCATAATCATCACTAGCAGCATCTTATTAAGAACATAAAATTGTATATATTGTATACTTACAATTTTCCCCTTCATATCTCTCTATGCCAATAACATGTTAACACATTTCGTACCGCTCAGGAGTTTGCTCGTGTTTCGCGCGCCATCTGTTAAGGACCGCTCACGAGTGTTCTCGTTTTTCACGCCCATGGAAAAGGGAGCGAATCTAGATACTTATGTAAATTTTGTTTGGTCCCTCTTCACAGACGAAAATGTTTTACGCAGTGCCATACGTTAAAAAAGTACTAGGAACTTTAATTGTTTAATTGTTTTTGTAAATAAAAATGTTGTAATTATTGAAAAACAACACCTAAAGTGCATTATGATGATTTAAATAACGTGCAGTTTGCTCAAAAACGTGCGATCCCTGGCGTATGTCTTAGAGATTTCTATGCGGTACGCAATGTGTTAAAAGTTACTTTTTATATCAGTGCATCTCAAAGAATAGAATGTTTCCATTTTTAATTAAGCAACTCCACATACATGTTTATCATTAACTAGTGATTATAAATTTTAAAAAGGTAATAAACACCTCTTTACTTGTTCCCTTTTCATCCACTCCCTCCCTACCCTGCAACCTCTTAACACTTATCCTTGTCTTCATAGGAACTTACCGAAGTAACAGATCTGAAAAGAACCTGAGAAAGCATAAGCCAATCTCTACCTTATAAATAAGGAAATCGAGGCCACCCAATGATGTTCCCATGGTTACATGTTAGTTGCTTCTAGAGTCCCTGTCTCTCTCTTTATATATACACTAGAGGCCTGGTGCATAAAATTCGTGCATGGCGGGGGGAGGAAGGTCCCTCGGCCCAGCCTGCACCCTCTCCAATACGGGACACCCCTCTCGCAATCTGGGACCGCTGGCTCCTAACTGCTCACCTGCCTGCCTGATCGCCTCTAACCACCTCTGCCTGCCAGCCTGGTCGCCCCCTAACTGCTCTTCCTGCTGGCCTGATTGCCCCCTAACTGCTCTTCCCTGCTGGCCTGATTGCCCCTAACTGCCTCTGCTTCAGCCCCCGCCACCATGGCTTTGTCGGAAAGGTCGTCCGGAAGATGTCCAATCTAATTAGCATATTACCGTTTTATTAGTATAGATACTAGTGACCCGGTGCATGAATTCGTGCACCAGTGGGGTCCCTCGGCCTGGCCTGTGGGATTGGGCCAAAACTGGCTCTCTGACATCCCCAAAAGGGTCCCAGATTGTGAGAGGGTGCAGGCCAGGCTGAGGGACCCCACTGGTGCACGATCAGGGCCAGGAAGGGACGTGAGAGGTTGAACAGCCGGGGAGGGACTGTAGAAGGGCTCTAGCACCTGTCCGGCCCATCTTGCTCAGTCCCATTTGGCTGGACCCCAGCAGCAAGCTAACCTACCAGTCAGAGCATCTGACCCCGGTCAGTGCACGTCACAGCAACTGGTCGACGGGCCGACTGTCTGCCCCCTGGTGGTCAGTGCATGTCATAGCAAGCAGTTGAGGAGCCTTAGCATATCATTAGCATATTACACTTTGATTGGTTGAACGGCCAACTGGATGACCAGACACTTAGCATATTAGGCTTTTATTATATAGGATACAGATATATATATATATATATATATATATATATATATATATATATGCGCGCACACACACATATATATTTTGATATATGAACAACTGTCCAGCAAAAGTGGGGAAGAGGATATACAAATACACATACATACATACATATGTATGTGTATATGTGTATATGTATGTTGTTACTAAAATTTCAAAACATTAATATTAAAAGGGTAAGTTTAATCAATGTGGATTTCCTGAAAACTCCAAAGGTGCCAGGTAAGTATTACTGTGAGTATATACCAACATTTTTTTATATCAACATTTTAATAGAAGAAAGAAGAATGGATGCATGGACTCTTTACCAAAAGGTTCATTTGTCTTGTAAACTCTCTTGTCATTTGAGAAATCTGATCATTCAGTAAATCCTGTTCTTTTTTTTGTTCTATAAAAGAGATACAGAGAAAAAATAACTACCCACAATGTTCTTTGGCTTAAAAAACATCCATCAAAATAAGAAATGAACCTGGTTTTAAAAGTCAAATACTATGGCTTATAACAAAAACTAGCAGTCAGGTGATCCCCAACACTGCCCCCACCCTTTGTCCAACTCCTAAGGCTAAAATCATAGCTGGAAATGATATAATTTCCAAATTTATGTTAAGAAACAGGAAAAAAATCTCCACGTGGTAGTAAAGTTGATTCTACCTTTACCAAGTACAGGGAGAAACCACATAATATAGTTGCTACTAACTCTTAATTTTAAACAATCTTTAAAAAAGAAAAGGAAAAATTTGACAACAGCAACAGTAAGATTTTGTGTTATAAAAGAGAGGAAATTCGTAGATAAGAAAAAAACAAAACACCCAAACCATAGAGAACAGAGTTAAAGGTGATGAGGAAAGGTAGAGGAAATTCAACCTTGCTTTGGTGGGTGAACCCCTCGTTAGAAGTCAATGGTGAAATCCTTACCTGGGCTTAAGGTCAATTACTTAGTGCCTCATACAAACCTGTGAGAATACGACCCAGCTCTTGAAACATTTTGTTTTTGCTCATATATTCGTCTTCTGTCTCTTGGAGTGTGGGAAGATATGTAAATAGTTCATCTTCCTTTTCTTTGGTACTTTCCATTTTCTTAACAAATTTTTGCTTTAAAGAAAGTAAGGCTGATTGTGAGGCATGGTTTCAGAGAACTGACATAACAGTCGAGAGCAGTTATAAATCATTTGAGGGATAGAGTTCTCTCTTAGTCTTCTCCTGTCCTAAGGTGCATAGCAAGGTATCTGGCACATCCTAGATGTTTAAAAAAATATTTACTGGCTGACTCACTTACAAACTAAGACGATGAGAGTCAATGGCTTTCCGAAGATCCTCTCAGTTCTATAGCTCTATTGCTACAATTCTGCTGTTATCATGTGTGTACTCCCAAATCATTTGAGGAACTTCTCTTGGTTGACAATATTTTATGGGTAAAAAAAACCCACAAAACCGAAACAAGCAAACAGGCAGCAGGACAGATTATACACAAGTTCTAAGAAATGTGCATGTAAGAAAGAAATGGGAGGGGGTAGCAATAATTGGATATACTTCTACAGCAAGCATGTCAAACTCGCAGCCACATGGGGCCCACAGTGAATGTTTTTGCAGCCCAGCCACTATAACGGCATGTAAGAAACATTTTAACTTAAATTTTGTGACTTAATTTTTACAATGTCCTGTTACACATTGTTAATAACGAACTACAATGTTCGCTAATGACTGATTACTATCATCGTGTTGCATTCATTTCCCTTACGTGCCTTACACGCAAGCGCACCATTTCCCTCCACTAATACTAGCAGCAGATATTTTAGCAGCCGATTGCCACGTCATTAGTCTTGGACTGACTGGTTTGGTGTGTGCAACAGGAAATATTTCGCTTTCGGAGAACACGAAAAATAGATTTGCATTACGCTTATTAATTTGTGCAGAGTCTGGTAAGTTAATGTTCAAGAAAAATATTAATTTTTATTAAAATGTTCTATTATTTTATGTTAACGATGACTCATTTATTTCAGCGCTTTGTATTCAGCATGTCTCTATCGAAATAAACCTACATTTCTATGAAAATTGAAGCTTTTGTGTTTCTGCGGCCCACAGAAACGTAAACCTTGTTTATTTGGCCCGTGTTAGCCTGTGAGTTTGACATGCTTGTTCTACAGCAAATGGGTACCAAGTGTCCAAAGCAAAGCATGAATTTGCCTGCTTACTATTCAATCTCAGGTTTTGTTTCATTTCAAATGGAGTAATTTTTTTTTTTCTAGAAAGTCAGGATAAGTTTAAAATGGTGAAGAAGGCAGAGGCGGCCAGCTGACATTCACTATCCGTTCTCCTGTCCTTGAACCTCAGGACCCCGGAGTTCAGCAGAGCATATGGCTGCCACCTACAGGGGTTTCTCTGTTTCCCTTGCAGGTGGGTGTGACCAACGAGTATGTGAGCAGAAGTGGTTCGGGCCACTTCTGGGCCTCGCCCCTGCAGCAAGAAGGGGTATGTGCCCCCTTGCACCCCCCCTCCCCTGGCTGGAGAGGATGAGAATGAAAGCCGCCACCTGGACCCACAGGTGTTAGCCATACGCTGAGCAGGTGGACCTGCCCCTCCCGCCCGGGATTGCTCCCCTTTAGCCTCTACCGAGAAAGAGGAAGAACCGTCTCTCCTGCTGCAATGACCAGACCAGTGGGTCTTCTCAACTCGATACGCAGGCTCTTAAGGTTTCAATAGGCCGTACTTGACCCAGTTTACTCTGAAAAACTTCCATTTTTATTTTTAGCCAAGTTGTATCTGCATGTAACTTGAAGAAATCCCTGAGTGCCAGCAGGGCAGCAACAGACATGCTTCCCCAGCAGGAGGCGCCCTACAACACAGCTGACCAGAGGCCAGTGCCCTTCGACCCCACCAAAGAGATAAACTCAGATGAAGGGAAAGAGACCCGCACGGGTGGGTACTAGAGCGCCAGGTTCAGAGAGGACCAGCATCTGCTGGGCAAACCTTCTAGGTCCCCGCAAGGGACATGCCCACTTACATGAGGCACCAACCCCAGGAGAGCCCGATGTCATGATTTCCCAGCAGTTAAGGCTCCCAGTCAAGACGCAGCGCACCCACCAGGGGGCTTTTCCACACAAGCTGTGCTACCTGACCCCACAGCTGCCAGTGCCCCTTTATCAGGCTACCAGGGCAGGAAGTCAACACGGTCAGCCACGGTCCCCTTCCCAACAGAGGGCGGCTTGCTAACCCTGCACAATACACCTTGCATATGTTCACTATGTTTTGGCATCTCTTTGATACAAGCAGCTTGCTTACACCCTAATTAACACAGTGATACACCAGCCTATGTCCCCTTCTAAATTGCCATTAAAATCCTTATAAAGAAATATAGGAACACACACACACAACCACGATTTAAAAATGTCACAGTGCAGAATCAGGAGAAAATTTCTCCAGACTGCAGTGTGAAAAAACTCAATTGTGTGTTATCTGTATTATGTTCTCTACAGAAGAATATCGGGGTGGCGGCCGGGGGGGGGGGAGATAAGGAGGTGTGTGGATGCATTAATTCATTCCTATTGTCTGCAGTCTCCCCATTTCTGCTCCAGCCACCTGTCCCCTTTCTGTTCCTCAGGTAGGACAGCCCTGCCTCAGACCTTCATGCTCAGCATGCCCTCTGCCCGGCACCGCCTCCTACAGCCTTCTCCACGGCAAGCTCCCTCACGCCTCAGGGCGGGGCCCTCTCTGACTACCCTATTCAAAACAGCACACACTCCAGCCCATGTCCCTGCTTTCTTTTTCTCTATAGCATTCATCACCATCGAATCTACTACTTGTTCTCTTTGTTTATCTTGTTTCTTTTCTAACTCCCCTCACTGGGCGTTTGACAGGCCAAGCTCTGCTGTTTTTTTGTTTTCTGTTAGCATCTAGCAGAATACCTCGCACCCAGATGTGGTACAACCAACAGAGAAGGGCTCCCACCCACCGCTCCCCACCGTCCCCTCTGATTCTGTGTCATTCTGTGCCGCGCTCTCTGCCACCTGCTCCCTGCCTTGTGCCGCTTGCCATGTCACCTCTCCCTACGCCTGGCCAGTCCTCTGACATTTCTGCCTGTGCTCCCGAGTTGCTGACTTTCCTGCACAGCCCCGTGAAGTTACATTTTTTTTTTTTTTTTTAATTCAGGAAAGAACATTTGATCCCAGTTTTCGTCTGTGGCAGCATCACTTTTCTGAGTGCTCTTCATTTGCAGGGACGCTTTGCTCTGCCTTTTGTCTGTTCTCACAGCCTTTTTTGTGTGGAAGGTGTGCCTGCTTCTTGCCTGTCACTCATATTAGAAGTGGCTCTTCTTGGATTAGTTATCTGCAGAGGCTTCTGGATGAGGTGTTGGGGAATAAGTACCTGAGGGGGGGCGGGCGGGGGGGGGGGCGGAAATAGGCTTGGACCAGGGTCAGATCTAAACTTTGAAACGTAAGGGCTCCCTACTCCATCGCTACAGCAAGGGACTGCTGCCTTCAAACACAAACTGTTTGGTGTCGCTGGGCCTCTTTCCCCCTTCAAACCAAATCAAGTCAGGAAGGCTCCTACCTCCATCTCTTCTCTCCTCAACTTCTCTACCAATGCCAGGCTCCGAGAAACACACCCTGGCCTTTCAAGGTCACGCCGTCACCTTGAGAAGGCGTGGTTTGTGTTGTTTCTGGGCGCCCTGGGTACTTCTGGTCCCCTTTTATCCACCTCCTCCAGCATCCGCACCCTAGTCTATCCCAGGTCAGCTCTGAGCCGTTCCGAAGTCAGTACAACAATATTTCTGGCTGCTCTATTTCCTTTTTAGGAAAAGAAGAAAGATTCAGAATGAAATGTAGTTTTCTTCACACTAAAAGATTTGTCTTATATTTAACTAATTAGAGGAGCATGGGACATATACCCCTTTCCCGGCACACAGCCCTCTATAATTATTCTTAGATGTAAAATAAAATTTACCTCATACTTGTTCAATTCTTGAATTAACTTTTTTTCATTGATGACAAATTCCGTCTCTGTTTGTTTTAAATCTAATGCAACTTTTTTAATCTGTACCAAATTTTCAGTGATCTCTTTCTCTGTAACACTGGTCTAATGAGGGGAAAAAGAAGATTCGTCATTTGTCTAGTAGCAGTCATCCTTGGATTTTTTCCAACAACCAGGTAAATGAATATCTCTTTGCATGAGATTTGGCTCTGATTTCAGGTCATTATTTCTCAGTAACCACTGAAAAGGTTTTTCCCCCGCTTCAGACATTAATTTCTTCGCCAAATAGTAGTTATAAATGACACGAGGAAATGGAGAATGGGGTCAGTGAACAATGGAGGATGGGCAGAGGGTAAATATGGAAGTTAAATAAATGATGTGTGATCTCTTTATTTTTAGAAACAAATTCCTAAAAAACAATTAAGTGTCTGATCACAGGAGAAAATTGCCACTTCGTTTGCTAAATTCCTATAGCTAATACACAGCAAATGGATATATTTCTTAGGAAGATTACATAGTTCACCCTAAGCTTGAAGTCAGCTGAAAGGAAAATATCTTTGCGTTAAACTTAATATTGAAGGACAATTACTGATATGCAATATAGGAAACGAACACTAAGTCTGTTGCATTCCCTTACCTCTTCTATTAACTCACTGCGTCTATCTTCTGCGGCCTTGATTTGATCCATAATAGCTTCTAATTCTTCTCTCATCTTCAGTAGCCAACGTCCATGTCTTTTTGTCAAACAAGCTATTTTCCACCGAGTCAGAACACTAGAGATCAGAACAAAAAGATTGGGACAATTTTATGTCATCATTAAGTTGACATAACGGTCTACTGAAAAGATGAAGGGATGCAAAACAAAACAAAGTCTCTGATCACACAAAACTGTTTGTGCTATTGGCGATGCAGACTCCACATTAGCTAAAAAAAATAAGACAAAACGTTGACTGCCTCAATGCTGGATCTGCACGTTGCTTCAAAGTAAGACGCTCTGCCCTGACCGGTTTGGCTCAGTGGATAGAACGTCAGCCTGCGAACTGAAGGGTCCCAGGTTTGATTCCGGTCAAGGGCATGTACCTTGGTTGCGGGCACATCCCCAGTAGGGAGTGTGCAGGAGGCAGCTGAATCGATGTTTCTCTCTCATCGATGTTTCTAACTCTCTATCCCTCTCCTTCTCTCTTCCTCTCTGTAAAAAAATCAATAATAAAAAAAAGTAAGATGCTCAGTGGGCCCATCCAATAGGACAGCGGACAAACCACACTTGGCAGCTTGCCTCCTTTAGGTGAGGAGAGAAATGGGAAAGGTTCGGGGGCAGTGGAAGAAAGGAGAGGCCCAGGCAGAAGAGTCATGGAAGTACCTAAATGACCCAAAGTGCTAATGAGGGATTTCAAGCTTCTAGGTTCTCAAATTTCTCTCCACCACAACATAGAAAAGCTACATAATTGGGAGCCAGAATGTGCCATTCGAGTCTTATATACATCATATTATTACCAATGACAACAACAATAAAAAAAATAGAGTTATGTTTTCCCAAGCGCTTCTTAGATGCCAGGTGCTGATCCAAATACTTTACATGGATCATGACATTTACCATGACGAGGTGGCACTGCTATCATTCCCCCCTTTATAGGGATGGGAGCAGAGAGATAATGAAATAACTGAGCAGTGATCCCAGAGTGAGTTAGAGGTAGAGCCATCAGGGTCGCCCCTCTGCAGAGCCTGTACTCCCACCGCTTCTCTGCCCCTGCACATCCCCTGCTGTCCCCACGAGGCCTGGATGTGCAAAAGGCATTACACAAATCTTGGCAATTTTACTTTTACTATTTTGTGACTTTACTCGATTGAAATGGAAAACTTTGGTTCTGGTCAGGGCCAAAAAATGTGCACGCGCAGGCACACACACACACACACACACACACACACACACACACTTATATACATAGATGTAGATCCAGAACTCACACAATTTAGCTTAAGAAAATCAGTTTCTTGGATTCTAGCAACCAACAAGTACTCTGATTTCCTCCCTACTTTGGGGCACTGTTCATTCAGATACTAAATAACCTACACAAAGGAACTGGTTTTCTTTACCATCTCTGAATTTCTCTTTCCAGGTTTTCACTCAGGATTTCTATGTGCTTCCGATAGACTTCCTGTGTTGCTCTGAAAACATGAAGAAGATATTGGATTTGGCATTTATTTATAGGAGCTGTTAGAATATATAAAAATTTATGTGTCAATCTTATGCGCAATAAGGTTATTGCTTAATTGGAACACGAAGCAAACCTTGTGAAACCACTGAAGAACTTAGTGGCAGAATGACAGAAAGATAACTGAAGTTCTGTGCAAGCACACACCGATTTTGCAAGTATCGAGGTGGACATCCAAGGAGAGGGAGCAGACTCTGGGGACGCAGCTGGAGAAAGATTATTGGAGGTTCCTGTTTGACAGGAGGAGACACGTGGGTTGCCGGAACGAAGGAGCAATCCCACCAAGGAAAGGACCTCGCTGTTTGTAAAGACACCGGGGAACAGAACAGCAAGTCAGGACCCCGGTGACGAAGGCAGACTCGCTGCCCACAGATGAAGGGAAACAGCACCCTGATGTAGGAGGAGTCAGAGTCAACAAACCGGTGAGGACCTCTGAATTCTAGATTAGTTACGATTTGCTACAACGTTTAATTCAGAACGTCAATAGAAATGCTTGAACTAGGGGTAAATAGTATTCAGGATGGAAGATTTTTCTGGTGAATCTGAAATGGATAAAAATGTGAGGGCTCTAACATAGACATCAGAAGCCTTTATTATTTTCATTCCCTTTATTCCCTAAGTGCTTCATCATGCACAGTGATGAGTTAAAGGCCACATAAGTAAAATGAGACTTTATACCTTTTTAAAAGATAGAAATATTGACAAATGCAACTTAGAATAGGAAATACTGTTAAAGAAACTAAAAACACACTGTGCTCATGTTTTTTTTTTCTTCTCTATTTGAAATCAATTTCTTACCAAAATAAACATAATATCCTCCCCTGGAACTGCAGGGTTCTTTATAATTTGCCCCAACGTTATTGATTTTATTTACATTTTAAATTTAATTCCCACAGGGGTTGACTAGTTTAAAATAAAGCAACAGTAATAGAAAAAAATCCTTAATGGATGCCAGTATTTGGCTCTGAGCTTCCTGGTGATCAGAGTAACGATGACACAATAATTCACTGTAAATTTGCATTATTCACAAGGAACGTAAAACCTCAATCAACTCGGTTCTATTTTCCTGCTCTCTATAGTGAAGGGTTTATAGTTTCTTTTCTGAGGCTCACAAGATGAAAAATAGATGTTTAAAAATATGATTTAACAACATATGGACATGCAACCAGAAAGCTACACTTCCTGCCTGCTCTACCTTTCTGTTGATATGTGTCAAATTTTCATCACCACCCATCTTAGTTTTCTGTAAGTTAGTCTCTTCAGTATCCTATATTCAAGTCATCTATCTCTCTATGAGTGGCGATATTATTCCCCCATTTGATAAGCAAAGAGAAAAAAATCTGATTTGCTTTTAAAGGTCTACAGTTTTAAATCTTTATATAACAAAGAAGAACTCCTTTACTTTCCTTCACCCTTCTTTGATTGTTTCTTAATAATTCACGCTATTCTTCAGTTATATACCATTCATTAGTTATTGTCTGTTGTTAGTCTTGATCATGTGCCCAACGACAGTATAAGTTGCTTTATGCCCAGTATTAGTGAGTGTAAAATGATAGAATATTTACATAGGGCATTTCATAATTATAAAAATAAAAAATACATAACCCTCTTTGACCCAGGAATTCAACTTTTAGGATTTATTATAAAGAACTAGTCACGCTGAAAAAAGAGATAGAAGAAGACATAAACAAGTGGAAGAATATACCGTGCTCATGGATTGGTAGAATCAACATCATTAAAATGTCCATACTACCCAAAGCAATCTATAGAGTCAATGCAATCCCCATTAAAATACCAACAGCATACTTCAAAGACCTTGAACAAAATCTCCAAAAATTCATCTGGAATAAAAAAGACCCCGAATAGCTGCAGCAATCTTGAGAAAAAAGAACAAAGTTGGAGGGATCACAAATAACAGATATCAAGCTATATTACAATGCCACTGTTCTCAAAACTGCCTGGTATTGGCATAAGAGCAGACATATAGACCAATGGAACAGAACAGATAACCCAGAGATAGACCCAAGCCACTATACTGAATTAATATTTGACAAAGGAGGCAAGAGCATACAATGGATTCAAGACAATCTCTTCAGTAAATTGTGTTGGGAAAATTGGACAGATACATGCAAAAAAAAAAAAAAATGAAACTAGAACACCAACTTACACTATACGCAAAAATAAACTCAAAATGGATAAAGGACTTAAATGTAAGGTGGGAAACCATAAAAATCTTAGAAGAATCCATAGATAGCAAAATAGCACACATTTGTCATAGCAATATCTTTACCGATACAACTCCTAGGGCAATGGAGAAAATAAACAAATGGAACTACATCAAAATAAAAAGCTTCTGCATAGCAAAAGAAACCATCGACAAAACAACACGAAAGCCTACTGCATGGGAGAACATATTGCCAATGTTATCTCCGATAAGGGTTTAATCTCCAACATTTATAGGGAACTCATACAACTTAACAAAAGGAAGATAAACAATCCAATCAAAAAATGGGCAAAGGACCTAAATAGACACTTTTTTTATTTTAAAAAAAACGACATACAGAAGGCCAAGAGACATATAAAAACATGCTCAAAGTCACTAATCATCCAAGAGATGCAAATCAAAACAACAATGAGGTACCATCTCACACCTGTCAGAATGGCTATCATCAACAAATCAACAAACAACAAGTGCTGGTGAGGATGTGGAGAAAAAGGAACCCTCCTTCATTGCTGGTGGGAATGCAGATTGGTGCAGCCACTGTGGAAAAACAGTATGGCATTTTCTCAAAAAATTAAAAATGGAGCTGCCATTTTCCCAGTAATCCCATTTCTAGGAATATATCCCCCCAAAAAACCAGAAACACCAATCAGAAAGGATATATGCACCCCTATGTTCATAGCAGCACAATTTACAATAGCTAAGATTTGGAAACAGCCTAAGTGCCCATCAGCAGATGAGTGGATTAGAAAACTGTGGAACATCTACACAATGAAATACTACACTGCTGTAAAACAGAATGGATTCTTACCATTTGCAACAGCATGGATGGAACTGGAGAGCATAGTGCTAAGTAAAATAAGCTAGTCAATGGAAGAAAAATACCACATGATCTCACTCATTTGTGGAATATAATGAACATAAACTGATGAACAAAAATAGAACCAACATCATAGAAGCATTGAACAGACTGTCCAACCTATGAGGGAAGGCAGGGGTGAGGGGGTAAGAGATCAACCAAAGGACTTGTATGCATGAATATGAGCATAACCAATGGACACAGATGGAAGGGGGGGCTGGTGAGGGCATGTTCTGGGGATTGGGGGCAGCCAGGGAGAGGTTAATGCGGGAAAAGGAGACTTATGTAATACATTAAACAATAAAAAATTTTAAAAAAGAGAAATAGTCACATAGGTGGACAGAGATATGTTAATGTTAACTTTGAAAATTGTTAGTAATATAGGAAACAGAAAAAAATGTCCATCAACAAAGTATTAGTTAAATAAAATACAGTATAATCTGCAGAAGAAATACTATGCAGTTAAAGAAAAGAATGAGGAAAGAGGTCCTGTATATATGATTTTTTCTTTATTTTTAAATAGTTTTAAACTCAACAGGTAAGTGTCAAAATCAGTGCAAAGAATCCCATAACTTTTACCAACCATGGTTTTATTATTCTCTCAGATATAATTTTTCCAGCTTTATTGAGATATAACTGACATATGATATTGTGTAAGTTACCCAGATATAATTTTAAGTGGGAAAAATCCAATTACAAAAGACTGCAACCCAAGTTTTGAGTAAATAAATGCATAATCTAGCTATATAAAACCCTAATATGCAAATCAACTTAACAGCGGACTAACTGGCGGAACGACCCATCGCTATGATGCACACTGACCACCATGGGGCAGACACTCAATGCAGAAGCTGCCCCCGGCCCACAGACCCCAACCAGCAGTGGGGGGCAGGGCTGGTGAGCCAGTGGTGCCAGGCCAGCCAAGGTGGATGGGAGCAGGAGCCCCAGAGATCAACTCTGATAGCTGGCCAGGCCTAGGGACCCTACCCGAGCACGAATTTCACACACTGGGCCTCTATTCTATATATATAAAAGCCTAAGCAACCAGCCGACAGGGTGGTAGTTATGATGCGCAATGACCACCAGAGGGAAATCGAGGAACAGACTGATGGAAACATGGAACAGACTGATGAATCTCAGAGGGAAGGGGAATGGGGGAGGGCAGAAAGAGATTAACCAAAGATCTTATATGCACACTAGAAGCCTGGTGCATGGGTTCATGCACCAGTGGGGTCCCTCGGCCTGGCCTGTAGGGATCAGGCAAAACCAGCTCTCTGGCATCCCCCGAGGGGTCACAGGCCAGGCCGAGAGACCCCTCTAGTATGTATATATTATGTATAGATAAATATAAATATATACTAAAGGCCCAGTGCATGGATTCATGCACCAGTGGGGTCCCTGGGCCTGGACTGTGCCCTCTCTCAATCTGGGACCCCTGGGGGATGTTGGGCTGCCAGTTTCAGCATGATCCCCACATCCCTGCAGGTGGCTGGTGAAAAGCCCAAGCCGGGGCCAGGTGCCGCTCCCACTCATTCCAGCCCTGATGCACCTGCTGCTGCTGCCACTTGGTAGCACTGCTGTGGAGGCGGGAGAAGCTTGCGCTGCTGGCTGAGTAGTGCTCCTGCTGTGGGAGCGTACAGACCACCAGGGGATAGCTCCTGCCGAGCGTCTGCCCCCTGGTGGTCAGTGTGCATCATAGCAACTGGTTGACCAGTTGTTCACTCATTCAGTTGGTTAGGCTTTTATATATATAGATATTAGAAAGCATGTATAGCAAACTGTTAACAGTAATTATTTCTGTGGAGAGATTCCGGTAACTTACTTTTGAAGTTACAAATTTCTATATTTAAATTTTAAAATCAGGTATAGGCATTACTTTTTTAATCAGAAAAAATTAAAATAGCAATTAGAGTGATTTAGAATGGTAGAAATGAACATGATGGGGGGTCAGTGCTGAAATAACATTTGGGCACATTCTTGTCACTAGATCCCTAACTTGTCCACTCCTCATGCTCAGCAACTTGTATAGAACTTAGAACCTGTCTGCCCTTTCAATGAAAGATTCAATGATAATGACTGTTCAGGATTGTAAAACAGAGACTGAATTATAAACCTCATTTTTTGTAGGAGATTAGAAATTGACCTATATTTGTTGTTACTATTTATTTTTTAAAAATGCAGAGAGGAATGAAGATTAAAAATTTCGAAGGCAACAAACATACCGATAAAGTTCAGAAAGCGTGACAAGTCCTTCTTCCATATTTTTGATGTCTACTTTTCTTTGTGACAGGAAGTTTTCTTTCTCAGCAATAAATTTCAGTTGTTTTTTATTTCTACCATAAAAAAAAACCACAGAGCTATCATATTTTAAAGGTTTAAATAATCATTTTTCAAATCCTCAGCATGAGAAACTATGCCATCACTAAGACCAATTTTGATATATTTTATTGATTTTACAGAGAGAAAGAGAGAGAGAAACAGTGATGAGAAACATCAATCAGCTGCCTCCTGCACGCCCCCTACTGGGGAATCAAACCCACAACCAAGGTATATGCCCTTGACCAGAATCACGCTGGGCACCCTTGGATCCGTGGGCTGATGCTCTATCCACTGAGCCAAACCAGTTAGAGCCAATTTTGAATACTGGCTCTACCTCTTCCCAGGGGTGTGACCTTGAAAAGAAACTTTACCTGTTAATGAACCTCAATTTTCCCATCCAAAAAATGGGGATCAAAATACCTATCTCAATGGGATTAAACAAGGTGTAAGCATTTTGTAAAAAGTGGTTTGTTTTTTTGTCTCTAACTTGCAGAAAGAATAATAGGAAGGTTATGATTTTATTCACATTTCCACACATTGATAGGAACACGCCTGCAACGGAAAGTACTTTATCTAAGTGTCAATAGGTTTTAAAACTAGAATAAGTTCAGGTGAAGGGTTACCACTTTGACAGGAAGGAAAGCACCCCATAACTACAGTATGTTAACTCATATATGGATCAGAAATAGAAACATACTCTTCTTGTATTTTCTTTTTTTGCATATGAACTTTATCTTCCTCCTGTAAGACAATCTTATATTGTTTGGTAAGAGTCTGCAATTTCTCTTGTAGATCTTTGTTTTCTAACTGAGCTTTGTATATTTTTTCATTCATCTAGAAAAAAACACACACAAAATAACTGAAGTAGAGGACCTGCTTCACAGGTCCTTTGAGGGGAGTTAGAGTCAGGTAGGCAACTCGCTAGAGCACTGAGCATATTGCTTAGCAAACAATGACTATGCCACAAAGAGTGAGTGATTGAATTCTATATCAACTATCCAATTATACACTTTGGGGCTTCTTCTATAACTTATGTCCTAAGTGTAGAAAGGTAATAAACACTGATGCAAAACTACAGAGTAATAATTCATACTGAAATACAAACTGGGATTACGAAACCGGGATAATTCACTTTATGACGTATGTCTTTTTTCCAGAAGATGAACTACACTGGGGAGGTAAAGTATAATAGCAACAGAAGTTCTTGCTCAAAACCTCTTTCACTGGATATTATGCTTGCTTCTTGTTAAATATTTCTACTTAAGGGAAAAAAAGGAGTACTTTTTAGTGGTTTGAAAGAGGTAAAAACTTTGTGTTTGGATGTCTCTGTTGAATTCCATCAAATGAGGTGAAAAAGATAGATTTAGTATTCAGTTCAAAATAACCATCTGGCTGAGGATTGCTAAAATAGCTGGGTGAAAAAAAATCCTTAAGTGTTGAAGAACTAACAAGATGATGAGGAATTTCTAGGTCTAATTCAATAAGAAAGCAAGAATCCATAGTGGTAAATCTAGCACTGAAAAGTCCTTTGTACCCTTAGGACATTTACAGATATGGAAGAAAACATGTGGAAACTGAGTTTTGGTTTTCTTACATGACAAGGGGGACAAAAGCCAACACTTGGAGCTCATCCAGGTGTTGAGTCTGATAAATCGCCCATCACATTGTCTGGGATCCCAAAGAGCTTCCCTCTCTGGCGAAGGGTGAATCAGGAGCTAACATGCCATGGTCTGTGGTCACAAACAAACCTAAAGGTGTACACACACACACACACACACACACACACACACACACTAATAAAAGAGAAACATGCAAAATTAACCATCACTCCACCACTCCGCTACACCCACCAGCCAATCAGGAGCAAGTATGCAAATTAACCCAACTAAGATGGTGGTGGCCACGGAGCTAGAGCGAGCAGGAGGCTTGCGTTGCCCTGGGCGATGGAGGAAGCCAAGCTTCCCATCTGCTCTGGCCGGCCCTGAGCTCCATTCAAGGCTACAAAGTTTCAATTATAAAAGATAAATAAATCCCAGATACCTGCTTCGAGCCCACCCTGGCCTCCGCTCAAGGAGGCACTGAAAAAAAAAAATAAGGAGAGGCTGGGAGTTTGGGTCGCCGGGGTGTGTGGCCAGCCTGAAAATGGCCATCAGCCCCTCACCCAGGCTGGCCAGGCACCCCAGCGGGGACCCCCACCCTGATCTGGGACAACCTTCAGGGCAAACCACCCGGCCCCCACCCATGCACCAGGCCTCTATCTATACTAATAAAAGGGTAATATGCTAATTAGAATGGGAGACCTTCCAGGAGACCTTCCAGATGTTCTTCTGGACAAAGCCATGGTGGCCGGGCCGAGGTAGAGGTGGTTAGAGGCCAAGAGGGGACGGCTGTTGTGGGTGATCAGGCTGATGGGGGGTGGGGCCGTTGGGAGCGAGACCAGCAGGGGGACCAGTTGGGGGTGAGCAGGCCATCAGTGGGGGTCAGTTGGAGGTGATCAGGACAGCAAGGGGGGGCAATTTGGAGTGAGCAGGCCAGCAGGGGGGCAGTTGGGGGCAAACAGGCCAGTGGGGAGGGAAGGTGGGGGTGAGTACACTGGCACGGGGGGCAGTTGGGGGTGATCAGGCTGGCAGTGGGCATTTGGGGGTGAGCAGGCCGGCAGTGGGGAGGCAGCTGGGGGCGAGCAGGCCAGCAGGCAGGATGGTTAGGGGCAGGCAGGCAGGCAGGCAGGTGAGTGTTTAGGAGCCAGCAGTCCTAGATTGTGAGAGTGATATCCCACTGCCGGTTTAGGCCCAATCCCTATAAACCATATAGGACATCCTTCGAAGGGTCCCAGATTGGAGAGGGTGCAGGCTGGGCTAAGGGACACCCCCCCCCCCCCGTGCACGAATTTCATGCACCAGGCCACTAGTGTGTGTGTGTGTGTGGGGGGGGGGTGTATGTGTGTGTGTGTATAATTGGGTCATAGTGTATATACTGTTTTATATTTTACTAGAGGCCCAATGCAATTCATGCAAGAGTAGGCCTTCCTTCCCCCAGCTGTGGGCACCGGCTTCCTCTGGCACCCGGGACCCAGGCTTCCCTCTGGCTGGTCTTGCCTCTGGTACCGGGGACCCGTGCTTCCCTCCAGCTGCTGGCAGGCACCTGGGACCCAGGCTTAACTCACAGCCCTGGCTTTGTCTGAAAGGACATCCGGTCTAATTAGCATATTATGCTTTTACTAGGGGCCCAGTGCATGAATTCGTGCACCTTGAAAGAAAGTGTGGGCCACAAAACTGTGGTAGGTACAGGGGCGGGTCTCAACCCATCCTCTGTGCCCCTGCCTGGCCCCTTTCACCACGTCCCCGGTCCCATGTCTGCCGGCAGCCCTACTCCCACCGCTGCTCCCATGTGCTGACAGCACTAGCCCCACTTGCACCCGCTGATGGTGTAGAGCGATTGGGCCAGCGCCAGCAGAAGATGTGAGCAGAGCCAGTGGGGTCAGCGAGTGCAAGTGGGGGCTGCTGCTCCAATAGCCCCTCGGGAGCAGGGGGAGGTAGAGAAGCCCTCAGGGGCAATCAGGGCTTGTAGCCGCTGCTCGCACCCACTGATGGCACTGAGTGATTGGGACCAGAACCGGGCACTGGCAGCAGGTACAAGCAGTGCTGGCACCAGCAGCAGGTGCGAGCACCTGGCGGGACTGTGGCGCAAAGGAGGAAAGAATTTTCAATAATTACCAGAGGCTTGCCCCTATGACAAAGACCGGCACTCCACCTTGGTATGGAGCCCCTGCTCACCTGCTCCACCATCCTGCCACGGCCAACATCCATCATGTTCTGCACATGCCCCCTGGTGGTCAGCATACATCATAGCAACTGGTTGTTTGGTTGTTCCGTCGTTTGGTCTATTTGTATATTAGCCTTTTATTATTATAGACTAGAGGCCCAGTGCATGAATTCGTGCACCGGTGTATTCCCTCAGCCTGGCCTGTGCCCTCTCACAATCCGAGACCCCTCAGGGGATGTTGGAGAGCTGGTTTTGGCCCAATCCCTGCAGGCCAGGCCAAGGGACCCCATCGGTGCATGAATCTGGGCCTCTAGTATGCATATAAGATCTTTGGTTAATCTCTTCCTGCCCTCTCCCCTTCCCTTTTCCCTCTGAGATTCATCAGTCTGTTCCATGTTTCCATGCCTGTGTGTTGAGCGTCTGCCCCCTGGTGGTCATTGTGCATCACAGGGTCAGCTGGTCGCTTAGGCTTATATATATATATATAGATTTATCATATCCTAAACGATGACATTTAAAGGATTTCTGTTAAGCTTTAATTGTACTTTGTCTCTAATTGTTCAACTTTCATAATAAATGCTTCATTGACTATCTTGTGGAGAAATCTTGGTTTATAGCCATGATTACTTACTTAAAATATCATATTTCTTATAACCTAAGTTTTATAATGTCTAGGGAATTCTCCTGGGGTCTAAATTTGACTCAAATATTCCACTAAAATTATTAAGTACAATATGGGTTGCTATACAACAGCAAGAAGCTCCTAATTTTTCTAATTAACTCACATAAAAATGTCCATTAGCCATGGATATTCCTAATGTAAAATAACCATATCCACTTGAAAAGTTATCGAGAAAATAATTCATCTTCTCATTAGAAATTTTTTCCTTTATACTTAAAGTGCTCTGGGAGGGAATAAAATCTTTAAATCAATTACTGTGACTGATCATGATTATTAGTTAATGAAAAAACTAGTTTTGGAAAATTTCTCCATTTACTTAAAATACTAACTAAAAAGAAAATCTAATTATAATCTAAAAAATAATAATTTCTGTCTTCCTACCTCCTTTATCTTCTGAAAAAATTCATTTTTGTCAGTAATAGTTTTCTCTCCCAGTTTTTTCTTGTTTTTCTTTAAAAAAAATCTATGAACAAAGGAAGCCAAACAAATTCATATTAAGACATATTTTTTCAGCAAAGCCATATTGTCCTATATAACATATTTATATATTCATTATAACAGACAAAATATTTTACTTTTTAGAATTGACGAATTAATGCTTTATTATTCTATTCAATCATTTAAGAAGCAATGGCAAATGGGATTGTTGTTTTTATTTTCTCTCTCTGAGAATTCATTATTGGTATATAAAAATGCCATTGATTTCTGGGTGTTAATATTGTATCCTGAGTGTAGCAATATTTTTAATCATAAGTCCTAGAAATAATTTAAGAACTAATCTGTATCTTCCACTATGATTCTCTGCCTAGTTTTTCTTTAAAACATATATGAACTAAAACTATTAAACTTCCAAAGAAAAAGATTTTTTGTTCTGAGTTTGAATTGTAGTAACTCTTGAGTCTTCCTATGTTAAATCTGGTACTGGGTACAAAGATCAGTGCCTACTTTATGGACCAGTTGATGATTACTATACTGGGCAATTGCTGTTTTAAAAGACTTAATTTTAATCACAATACATTCAAACCTCTGTACGTAGAAATGAGCCATTTTATAACATGATTCCACATGTGAAGTTAACTTGTCTTTTGGAATCTGTTCAGTTCACAATTTGTCTTTTAAATCGAACTCTGGAGGTAGGCCCAGAAGCCATATATTTGTATTACAAGACCTTGCCTTCTGGTCCAAAGCTGAGCCAAACAGTTTTTGTTGCTGTTAATCCTCACCTGAGGGTATTTTTTCTATTGATTTTTAGAGAGAGTGAAAGGGAGGGAGTGAGAGGGAGTGAGGAAGAGAGAGAGAGAGAGAGAGAGAGAGAGAGAGAGAGAGAGAGAGAGAGAGAGAGAGAGAGAGAGAAATGTGAGAGACACATAGATTGGTTGCCCCCTGCACATGCCCCAACCTGGACTGGGGATCAAATCTGCAACCCAGGTACGTGCCCTTGACAGGGAATCGAACCCTCAACCCTTCAGTGCTCAGGCCAATGCTCTAACCCAGTGGTCGGCAAACTCATTAGTCAACAGAGCCAAATATCAACAGTACTTCTTCAAAATAGACTCGCCCAGGCTGAAAACCGACTTCTGCGCATGGGCCACGAAGTTTCAATCGCACTGTACGCGCGCACCCACATGTGGTATTTTGTGGAAGAGCCACACTCAAGGGGCCAAAGAGCCGTATGTAGCTTGCGAGCCGCAGTTTGCCGACCACAACTCTAACCATTTAGCAACACTGGCCAGGGCTGAGCCAAACGGCTTTTGATGGGAAATCTGCGAATTCTCCTGGAAGAGAGTCTATTGGCCAATCTCTAATGATGAGCAGGCCTGTGCCAGGTCATTTCAGAGGGTTTGGAATGGTCATGCTTAGCCATGGCTCACCAGGAAGAGAACATAGTATGCAGATAGAGAGAAAGATGAAACCCTTTTGCAAAAGGAAGAGAGAGTGTGGGCTTTGGGATGAAAGATTCCCTTAAGTTTCTGGTTCCAGTCCCATGGGTAAAAGTTTTTACCCAGGGGCGTCCCTGTAATTTCTCAATAAACTCTGCAAATCTCCCTCGACTAAGAACAGCCACTGTAACCGTATGGGTAGGGGAGTGGGTAGCCTTGCGGCGGGCCTCATGAATGCCTTCCTGGGGGCATATTCATTTGCAGGAATCCCGGAATGGGGGTGAGAATAATACAGCCCACCAAGTCCCTTCCTTTTCCTGAGCTGACTGCATCATCCCCAATATTTTCTCTTGATCACGGGAGAGACTGATTAATTCCAAAATGAAGAGGTGTTTCTCTCCAGCTTGCAAGCACACAAATTTTAGTAAACTAAAAGATTATCATTTTCATCTAATAAAATTTTTTAAAGGAAAGAAACATAACACCGAGAAATGCTTCAGTAAAAATAAAGTATCATACTTACATTTTTTCCTCCAGGCTATTACAGATTTTCTTTATTTCTTCGATCTGTTCTTCCCAATGTCTTATTGATTGATTTAGTTCTGCTATCTCTAAATTGTGATCACTAAGTTCCTATTGAAAATTTAAAAAAATTATGGCATTCAGTCATTGTCAAATGATTCAGGATGGTGGTTCGATTCACTAAATATTCATGTGTCACCCACTCAACTTCTGCACTGGGGGGTGTCCTTTAGTTAAAATAAAAGCAATCATTGCAAATTGTTTCTTCAAAATATAAACTAGGGCAGAAATAAAAAATAATATTGGGGGGGGGGAGAGCAACCAAATATAGTAGTGAGGATGTGACAACTATAAAAACAACTCTCAAGACATGAATTCACCTTGACTATCATTTTAAAAAATAAACAAATCTATATTTTCATAATCATCTCCAAAATGTTATTCCAGGAGAGAAGAATGATATTATAAACAGGTCTAAACAAATTGGGTCTTTCACCTCAACTGATAGCTATGTTCATGCTGAAGAAAAATTTCTCTCTTAATATTTAATCAGAAGTTTGAAAATAAAACCGGTGAAGACTGTGAAAAAATGTTAGCCTAATTTTAAAAAGGAAATACAGATGAAGAAAATTCATAGTGAGACAGCTATGTTGACAGTGCAGTTTGGGAATAAAGAAAAGGGAAGGCAAATGTATCAGAGCCCTGGGCCTGCGTTTCCGCTTCTGAGGGAGAACGGAGCTGGTCAGATCCCTCCGCTCTGCAGCACAGGTGCCAGGCCAGATTATCGCATGCCGTCTAAGCCTGCACGCCAACGTGGGGTCATGGACACACCTGGGCAGCATAAAGGTGCTCTCCATCATGCCACGTGAGACAGGTGACAGCTCCCCAGAACTCTTTCTTTCTCTAAAGAAGTGGTTCTCAACCTTCCTAATGCCGCGACCCTTTAATACAGTTCCTCATGTTGTGGTGACCCCCAACCATAAAATTATTTCGTTGCTACTTCATAACTGTAATTTTGCTACTGTTATGAATCGTAATGTAAATATCTGATATGCAGGATGTATTTTCATTGTTACAAATTGAACATAATTAAAGCATAGTGATCAATCACAAAAACAATATGTAATTATATATGTGTTTTCCGATGGTCTTAGGTGAACCCTGTGGAAGGGTCATTCGACTCCCAAAGGGGTTGCGACCCACAGGTTGGCGACCCAAAGGTTGAGAACCGCTGCAAGCATCCTTGGGACTGAACTTCTGGGCTATAACTAATTCCAGAGTAACAGGGTCTGAAATCCTAGAACTGCCACCAACAATCAGCAGAACGTCTAAAGGACTCCGGCTGGCCATGAGGATTAGTGACTAAATGCCAAGGCCATCAGGAATGACACTGGTCACCTCTTGTCCCCAGTTCTCCCTGCCCTGGATATGTAGGCCATATTGAGGACCACACACCATTATTCTTTTCTGCCAACATGGCATCAGCTTGACCTTGGTGCAGAGTTTTCTAAACTAAAGGTACCACAGGAAGATTAATCTGATATCTCCTACTGTCTCAGTCCACAGCCAAAATGTTGTTTTCTAATCTTGAGCAATAACAACAAACTTCACCAATGTCTGATCTCCACAAAAGCCCTTTGAAGAAGGCAATGGTATTACCCCACTTTACATTTTTCATTTCTATAGATTTCAAAGAGGAAGGGAGAGGGAGAGACAGACAGAAACATCCATGATGAGAATCATTGATCGACTGCCTCCTGCATGCTCCCTATTGGGAATCGAGCCCGCAGCCCAAGCATGTGCCCTTGACAGGAATCAAACCCAGGATCCTTCAGTCCACAGGCTCTATCCACTGAGCCAAACCAGCTAAGACTTACCCTATTTTATAGGTGAAAAAAATCTGGGCTTGTAGAGTCAAGGTTTGAACCTAGGTCTCTTTGACACTCAAGTTTGTGCTTTAAACATTATTCTCCACCAGTAAGGTAGGGCGGGGTGGTCAGGTATGACGGGGCAAGAGGGAAAATGACACTTTCAAGCCTGTCTCATTTGGCCTTAGAGATCTTTGGAGTACAGGTTAAGGAGCACGTGCTTCATTTTCCCAAGTTAGAACTTGGAGGGCACTTGGCTTTGATTTATGAGGTCCAAACGAGAGGTGTGTACTTGGGGGGCATGCAGATCAAATGTGTTTTATGCAATCCCTACTTTCTCCTTAGCCTGACTCATGCTTCCTTACTATGTTGATATTTAAAAAACAGGTAATGATATTCTTAAATATATTGGGAGGGGGAATTTTGACTTGACCAATGTTTTGTAATTGGATGTCATAACCGATATAATAAAACTAAAATGATCAGGACCACCATATAAAAAATAAAATGGAATTGGCTGAGCATTCTGGTAAGAAGTGTGATGTTTCAGTATTACTATTGCCCATATACAGTTTTACATGTATTTCTCAATGCAGATAGGAGAAATGAAGACTCAATTCAACTAACTGTGATAGATTACCATTCATTTCTGTTTTAATTAACATAGAAGTGGTATTATCATTAACGTTTTCAATTATAGTGACCTCCAAAGGTCCAGTTTTCTAATTTTTAAAATAATGATGATCCCCACAAAATACTTAACATAGTACTGGCTTTCATTCAATGTTATTAGTATTTTTAAAAATAGAACTGCAGAGTTCTCAAGTATTTGCTAACTTAAATAAACAAATAGTCCCCTTTCCCTATTATGTTTTTCCCTATTATGTTCCTGTACCCAATATAAATGGAGAGACTAAATTCTGTTTTATCATCACATACCCAGAATTAAGGAATCTGCCCCTGGTTACTTCTTTTGTTATGTAAAATAAAGCAATATCATAAAAATGTTATATATGGTATTGTATGCATTTTAAAAAAATCAGTTTTACAGTATTTTGGTTCATCCAAATGCAATCTGTACCTAAGGTGTGCCAAACTTTTTTCTTCCCACCATATTCCTGAAGAAGAAAACACAATTGCAATACAACACACTAAAGTATCAGGAAATGTTAACATGACAAAAATATTCTTCCAGCACGTAAATTAAAATCAATTCCTTTTTAAAACGCCTGTTACCAGTCATATTAAAGGTAGTGTATATTGAGGTGCCCGGGTCAGGCTTGAAAAGCATAGTTTATCCTTTCTTACCACTGTGCTGGTAATAACTTTTTCTTTTATGTCCATCTCTTTAATCCTTAATTTATCCAATTGTTTCTTCCTATAATAAGCATCCTGTTTCTTAGATTCACAGATATTGTCATATTCATTCATCTGTAGTGACAAACACAAACCAATGAAAAAGCTTATGAGGGCAACAAAGTTTAGAAACTCCTTTTTTAAATTTTATCAATCTAATTCATATTCAATCTAAGTATATCATATTCAATCTAAGTATATCAACAATAAATAATAACCAGCCCTGGCTGATGGCTCAGTTGGTTGGAGCATTGTTCTGAACACCTAAAGGTGGCGGGTTCCATTCCAGGTCAGAGCACATATCCAGGATGCAGGCTCGATACCCAGTAGGGGGCACATGTGGGAGGCAACTAAATTGATGTTTCTCTCTCACATGGATGTTTGGATGTTTCCTTCTCTCTCTCCCTTTCTCTAAGATAATAAAGAAAATAATTTATTTTCTGTTAATAAAGAAAATAAATTAACAGCTCCAAGTCTGTTCCCTGCAGATCCAGGGGGAAGGGACTACCAGTGGTTCTCAACCTTCTGGCCCTTTAAATACATTTCCTCATGTTGTGACCCAACCATAAAATTATCTTCGTTGCTACTTCATAACTGTAATGTTGCTACTGTTATGAATCGTAATGTAAACATCTGATATGCAGGATGGTCTTAGGCAATCCCTGTGAAAGGGTCGTTTGACCCCCAAAGGGGTCGCGACCCACAGGTTGAGAACCGCTGGACTAGACAAAGAAAGAATACACGCATGCCCAGTAAAGTCTAGGTGGTCTAGGGAGGGTGATTGCCTATCAGTCACACCTGGGAGCAGGTCACTGGCCAGAATAGATGTGGCTACTGCAAGGGCGCAAAACCTGAGACACATATGCTCCTGAACAAAGGAAGCTCTTGCTTTCGTGGGACTCTTGTTGCAGGGGGTATGCCCTCAGACTCTGCACTTGCCCACACGGCCCACAGACATGTGGGCTCCACACAGGATGGGCTGATGGACTGGAATTAGTCTAATGCTGTGCTGGACCTAACTCCATCAGGGAACAATATAAAAAATACAAAGTAATACAAAAAGTTCAATGAAATGGAGAGTTGGTTCTTTTAACAGATAAACAAGATAGAGGAACCCTTAGCTGGATTCATTAAGAAACACAGAGAGAGAACCCAAATAAATAAGATCAGAAATGAATGGGGTAAAGTAACAACGGACACCACAGAAATAGGATTATAAGAAAATACTGCAAACAACTATATGCCAACAAACTAGACAACCTGGGTGAAATAAACAAATTCCTAGAAACATACAATCTTCCAAAACTGAATCAGGAAGAAGACAAAAACCTGAATAGGCCTGGTAACAGCTGATGAAACTGAAGCAGTATAAAACAAAAAAACAAAAAACTCAGCAACCAAAGCCCGGGTCTGGATGGCTTCACAGGGGAGTTTTGCCAAACATTCAAAGAACTAACACCTCTCCTCCTTAAATTATTCCAAAAAATTCAAGAAGAAGGAAGACTTCTAGGCTCTTTTTTGAGGCCAGTATTATCCTAATCCCAAAACCAGATAAGACCACAACAAAGAAAGAGAATTATATGCCAATAACCCTGATAAACAGAAATTCTAAAATCTTCAACAAAATACTAGCAAATCAGATCAGCAATATATTAAAAAGATCATACACCATGACCAAGTGGGATTTATTCCAGGGATGCAAGACCGGTACAATATTTGCAAATCAATAAATGTGATACACCAAATTGAAAAATCACATGATCATATCAATAGATACAGAAAAAGCATTTGACAAAATCCAACAACCCATTTAAAAAAATATATTTTTATTGATTTCAGAGAGGAAGGCAGAGGGAGAGAGAGATAGAAACATCAATGATGAGAAAGTATCATGGACTGGCTGCCTCCTACATACCGCACATTGGGAATCCAGCCCAAAACCCAGGCATGTGCCCTGACTAGGAACTGAACCATGACCTCCTGGTTCATAAGTTGACACTCAACTACTGAGCCACACTGGCTGGGCCAACACTCATTTTTGATAAAAACTCTAAGCAAAGTGGAGAGGGACCATACCTCAACATAATGAAGGCCATATATGACAAACCTACAGGCAAATCATACTTAATAGGTAGAAACTAAAACCATTTCTCCTAAGACCAAGAACAAAACAGAGTTGCCCGCTAGTATTTTATTCAATACTAGAGGCCCGGTGCATGAAATTTGTGCACAGGGGAGGAGGGGATCCCTCAGCCTGGCCTGCACCCTCTCGCAATCTGGGACTCCCTCAGGGGGATGTCCAACTGCTAGTTTAGACCCGAGCCGGATTGAGCCTAAACAGCAGTTGGACATCCCTCTCATAATCTGGGACCGCTAGCTCCTAACTGCTCACCAGCCTGCCTGCCTGCCTGATGTCACTAATTGCTCGCCAGCCTGCTTGATGCCCCTAACCCAGTGGTCGGCAAACTGCGGCTCGCGAGCCACATGCAGCTCTTTGGCCCCTTGAGTATGGCTCTTCCACGAAATACTGACTTCTGCGCATGGGCCATGAAGTTTCAATCGCACTGTACGTGCGCACCCACACATGGTATTTTGTGGAAGAGCCACACTCAAGGGGCCAAAGAGCCACATGTGGCTCGCGAGCCGCAGTTTGCCGACCACTGCCCTAACCACCTCTGCCTGCTTGCCTGATTACCCCTAACCATTCACCTACCTGCTGATCACCCCTAACTGCTCATCTGCCTGATTGCCCCTAACCACCTCTGCCTCGGCCCCTGCCGCCATGTCTTCGTCAGGAAGGACGTTCGGAATGACGTCTGGAAGGTCGTTCAGCTGTCCAGTCTAATTAGCATATTACACTTTTAATATTATAGATAGTATTGGAAGTCCTAGCCACATCAATCAGACAAGAAGAAAAAACAAAAGGCATCCAAATTGAAAAAAGGATATAAAACTGTCATTAGTTGTAGATGACATGATACTGTACAGAGAAAACCCTAAAGACTCCACCAAAAAACTACTAGATGTAATAAATGAATTTGGCAAAGTAGCAGAATACAAATTTAACATCCAGAAATTGATGGTATTCTTATAGACCAATAATGAACTCTCAGAAAGAGAAACTAAAAAAAAAAATCTCATTTACCATTGCAACAAAAATATACACCTTGGAATAAATTTAACCATAGAGGCAAAAGACCTGTATTCCGAAAACTATAGGACATTTAAAAAAAAGAAATAGAGGAAGATACAAACATAGGAAGAATATACCATGTTTATTAATTGGAAGAATGAGCATCATCAAAATGTCCATACTACCCAAAGTAATCTATAGATTCAATGCAGTTCCTGTTAAAATACCAATGGCATATTTACAGATCTAGAACATATACTCCAAAATTTATATGGAACCAAAAAAGACCCTGGGTAGCAGCAGCAATCTTGAGAAAGAAGAACAAAATTGGAGGGATCACAACACCAGATATAAAATTATACTACAAAGCTATTGCAAACAAAACAGCCTGATACTGGCACAAGAACAGGCATATAGATCAGTGGAACAGAACAGAGAACCCAGAAATAGACTCAAGCCATTATGCTCAATCAGTATTTGAAAAAGAAGGCAAGGGAATACAATAGAGTAAAGACAGTCTCTTCAACAAATGATGTTGGGAAAATTGAACAGGTACATGCAAAAAAAATGAAATTAGACCTTCAGCTTAGACCATACATAAGAATAAACTCAAAATGCATAAAAGACTTCAATGTAAGTCGGAAAACCATAAAAATCTTAGAAGAAATCATAGGCAGCAAAATCTCAGACATCTCCCGTAGCAATATCTGTGCTGATACATCTCCTAGGGCAGTGGTCGGCAAACTCATTAGTCAACAGAGCCAAATATCAATAGTACTTCTTCAAAACAGACTTGCCCAGGCCGAAAACCAACTTCTGCGCATGGGCCAGGAAGTTTCAATCGCACTGTACGCGCACCCGCACGTGGTGTTTTGTGGAAAAGCCACACTCAAGGGGTCAAAGAGCCGTATGTGGCTCGCGAGCCACAGTTTGCCGACCATGGTCCTAGGGCAAAAGAAACAAAGGAGATAAACAGATGTTTAAAAATAAAAAGCTTCTGCACAGCAAAAGAACCCTGCAACAAAATGAAAAGGGAGCCCACTGCATGGGAGAATATATTTGCCAATGATACGTCTGATAAGGTGTTAATTTTCAACATATATAAAGAACTCATACAACTTAACAAAAGGAAGACAAACAATCCAATAAAAAAATGGGCAAAGGACCTGAATAGATATGGCTCTAAAGAGGACATCCAGATGGCCAAGAGACATATGAAAAAATGCTCCAAGTCACTAATCATCGAAGAGATGCAAATCAAAATGACAATGAGGCACCATCTCACACCTGTCAGAATGGCTACCGTCAACAAATCAACAAACAACAAGTACTGGCGAGGATGTGGAGAAAAGGGAACCCTCGTACACTGTTGATGGGAGTGCAGACTGGTGCTGCCACCAAAGAAAACAGTATGGAGTTTCCTCAAAAAATTAAAAATGGAACCGCCATTTGACCCTGTAATCACACGTCTAGGAATATGATCTAAGAAGCCTGAAACACCAATCAGAAAGAATACATGCAGCCCTATGTGCATAGCAGTGCTATTTATAATAGCTAAGATCTGGAAACAGCAGCCCAAGGGCCCATCTGTAGATGAGTGGATAAAAACAGTCCTGGACACTGTTCTGCATGTGGTACATTTACATCATGGAACACTACACTATGCAGCTGTGAAAAAGGATCTCCTACCCTTTGAGACAGCTAAGCAAAGTAAGCCAGTTAGAGAAAGAAAAGTATCATATGATCTCCCTTATATTTGGAATCTAACAAACAAAATAAACTCATGAACAAATAGAGCCAGAGACATAGAAGCATGGAACCAATGTCCATGCATAACTCATGGACACAGACAATCGTGCACTTACGGGTGGGGGGGGGCAGTTTTGGGGGAAGAAAAGGGATATCTGTAATACTTTCAACATTTTTTAAAAAGATGAAGGATGGAGAAGAGGATGATAAGCCACTGAATTAATGAGTCTTGGATACTGTTCTGCATTGGTAATTCCTACTGTGTGAGATAACAAATGCCCTTACTGTCTAAGCCAGCTGGAGTCAGGGCTTCTGCCGTTTGCATCTGAAAGCGTCCTAACTGGTGCCATTTTCCAGGGAGATCACCACGGGTAAACAAACTCCTACCCGTGGCTCAAATCCAGCCACCACCTGTTTTTGTCAGCTGCTCTCATACATTCATACATTTAGGAGTTGTTTGTGGCTACTTTCGTGCTAAGATAGCATCGTTGTTTGTGGCAGAGACTGTATGGCCCACAAAGCCCTAAACATTTACCATCTGACCCTTTCAGAAAATGTTTGTCGACCCTGAGACAGGCTATTCACATAAGGAAGAGCCTGCCATGTTTGCAAATGTCCATGTTTTGAGCTCCTTTGTGCCTCCTTTTTGCATTTTAACATTTACATTAAAGAATAGGGGCGGGGGGGGGGGGGGCGGGATTTCCCCGTAGGGTGTAAAATGAAGTCAGAAACTCGTTCATTCAGTGGAGTCACATGACACAGTGTCTCCATGTGCGAGGCACGCCAGGCTCTGTTGGTAGTGCTGGGATGCAGCACGAAGGACACGGACAGAATCCCAGTCCTGGAGCCTTCTGATGGACAAAGCACTCATCTGCATATCCGACGCCACCGCTGCAGGACCAATTAAGTCCCCGGGGAAGTAAAGAGAAGGAGCAGGGCTCCCCGACTTCTCACCCCCCTCCCAGCTGTGCCCACACAGACACACCCCACTTTTGGCTCCTGTGACTTAAGTGAGCCGCTCCACTTTGGGGTCTGGGGTGCTCAGAGAGAGGAAGAGGGCTGGAACAGCAGGGTGACCGAGAGCTGCTCAGCCTCCTTGTCAATATGGCACGAAAACAGTAAAATGCCTTTTGGTTCTTGTTGTCCTGATATTCCCATTTCCTTGTGACAGTAATCACCAAGTGAGTTCTCGCCCAGGGACAGGAGCCCCTCACTGTTTTTGAGACGTGGATGTTGGCTGACTCCAGCACTGCAGGTCAGGCGACCAGGGGCTTCAGCCCCTGGGAGCTGGGCTTTCACAAATTCAGTTTAGTGGCTGCAGAGGGCCCAAGGGACTTCTTGCCAGCTCCTTCACCAAGAGCCCGTTCCCAGGATGACTAAGCCTGAGCTATCGGTATTCAAAAGGACGATCCATGGTTTTAGTGTAAAACTATTCCTGAAAGACTCAGTGTTACCGCTGTTAGCTACTTACTGATGGGAACAGAAGCCAGGACGTCAGACACTGTTGAGCATATTCGGCTGGGAAGCAGGGGCCCGTCTGCCCCACCAGGAAGCTACGGCTTCACACCCCAAGAAATCGCAGCATTGTCCCTCCAAGGGCGTCAACACCCTTCTCTTCCCCACTCCAGGACCCGATTGTGTGTGGAGCAGGGGGAGATATGGACATGCTCGGTAAAGTCAAAATGGTGCAGAGGAGGTGCCTGACCCCAGGGGCCTGTCAGTCTAACCGGGGAAAGCCATTGTCAGGCCCAGCAGAAACCCTTGAAACCTTGGGAAGCTAATTGGTTATTTTGAACAAGCTCCTGGTTATAATCCCAGGAGACAAAGAGCTCTCTCTCTCTTTCTTTCTCTCTCTCTCTCTCTCTCTCTGTCAGATTGATTCAGCAGGTGCAGCAGGCTGGGGCAGGGCTGAACTTCCTAGTCCTGCCATAGAGACACGGCCGCAGAACGGCCAAAGGCAACCAGATGACATGGAGGCAAATTCCTAGTCCCTATTGGGCTGCAGATGAGCCAGGGGCCACCCCAGTGATACAAATCCTGTCACTCATATTCTTTCTCATGAACTGAGATGCTGCTATACAATTAGCTATCTTCCCCAAGGGGCTCCCCTAAGATTCCCACCTGCAAAGGAGATTAAAAACCCCAAGACAAAGGGCCAGTGCATGCGCTCTCCCGCTGGGGAACATGTCCACACCTTCCCCTTCCCCGTCATCTCTCCCTCAGGCATGCATCTCCTAAACTCTAAAGATCTCTACTCTATTTCCCATCCCAGTGTTCACAGAGGACAGCACAGGAGCGCTAGCTAGCCTTGAGGACAAATAAATTATTCCCCATTTCGTGCTTGAGATTCTGGATAATTCTGTACCATAAAAAATAAATCATGCCACTTACCTGGCCACTCAACCTTTTTTTTGCCTTCAAATATTCTCCTTTGTCTTTGACTATTATCGCCTCTTTACCTTGAATACTTTTCTTTTTCAGTCTTATTTCTTCTTTCTCCAAGTTTATTTTTGTATAAGTCTCATTGATGTAAATAGCGGCGATGGCTTTTTTTCCCATCGCGTGGTTGAGTAACACAACAAGCTTTTCATGCTTCTTCGCCAGCTCCTTTTGCTGTTCCCTGGGAGAGAGAAAAAACATTCATGGCATGAAAAGTACGGCTTTTGGGAAAGGAACTTAAAGTCTATTTGGTGAAATCAACCACCACAAAGGGGGAAATTGTAAGGCATACTGATTTTAGAACTGTATTTGTAATCGCCTAAACTTGGGTGAGATGAGGACAGATGGATAACACAAGTGTTAACCTTGTAACTATTTACCAAGTAAAAATATCACGTGGTCCTGCCTCACCACGCCCATCCCCACAGAGCAGGTAGTGTCTATGGGATGTTTGGGTTAAAATATGCAATGACTCAAAAACAGTTTGGAGCAAGTAAATAAAACCTGGCCAGACAAATGGTTTGCTATGTAGCACTGCCGTTATGTACCTTATCATCCTGAGATCTGTAGCTAAATCAAAGAAATATATACATCCCACCACCCCACCGGCCACCTGCTGATGCCAGGGCCTGCAGGGAGGACCCAGGAGAAAGCTCGCCTCCCTCCGATGGACAGGAGTTAGGCGAGGAGAGGGTCCATCTTCATTGTTCAGGGGATGCTTGAAACCTAATGTGAACCCTCTTATCTCCCACCAGCTGCAGCCAAATCTGAGTTCAAAAGTAGACAATACCTTCACCCGTCAGTTGGTCACATTCACTGGAGGAAGACCTTGAGACTGCTAGAAACATCTACGCCAGGGCTAACCATAAAAGGTGTGTAGGAAGAATAACTGCCACGATGTCTGAGACAGGCCAGTAAGCCAGGACAAGTGGAACAGGGAAACTGAGGCAGAGAGCTGAACAAACTGGCCGAGGAATTTACAGCCAGACACAGCAGGTTGCCTCCCTGGAGATGACATCTAGGCCTCAGTTGTATTTCAGCTCCAGGCCCAGAAAAGCGGCACAACCAGGTGGGTGATGCCAGGGCCTGCTGCAGTGACTGACCCCTGCCCTGCCAGTCAAGGCCGTGACCCTGGAAGAGCACGCCTGAAAACTGATGAATTTTCTGCGGAAACCACGCCCTGAGACCTCCCCTAAGATTCCTGCCTGCAAGAGAGATAAAAACCCTCAAGACAAAGGACCCAGCACTGCGCTCTCCTTCTGGGAGCATGTCTACGCCTTCCCCTTCTTCTTCTTCCCCCACAAGCATGCATCTCCAAAACCCTAAGGAACCACGTGAGGCTTGCAACCTAAGGAGGAGGGGGGGAGGTGCTAATGGGCAGTGGCAGCTCTCACCTGGGCTAGCCTAACCCTCTGAACCTGTCTGCAAGGCCCCCTTTCCTCTGACTTCCCAGTGAGCCAAAGCAGCCCAGCCAAGGCTCTCCTGTTGCTGCTTCTATGCTAAGCCCTTACTTCACTGTCCCCAGGGTTTTTTTTTTGTTTTTGTTTTGTCTCCAGCTTTGATAAACGTACCCTCATAGTCACCTGGACTTGTGCTGTGAAATCTTTCCTGCACAAAGTCAGAAACCCACACACTACCGGCCGGCCCTAGGCAGACCCCCTCAGGGTCAGGTCCCTGTCTGATAACATTTCTATATTTTCCTTTTTAAAAAGCTCCTGCAATGTACACACATTTTTTTCCAGTCCCCAGGGCTAAACATTTGAGTTCAGGTGGTTGTGTGCAAAGGTTCAGGAAAATGGAAACGGATTGTTGGTCAGTTCGATTTCCAGAGGTCACCTCCACCACGTAAATTCAATAAACAGAAGCGCAGGCTAGAGGGAGTGAAATCCTGGGTGCTTTGTGGTCTAGTAGAGGAAGCCTTCTAAGAATGAATCGACCTAGGGATCGAGTAGCCTCAGGGAGACAGAGCGAAACAAGTCAAATGAAAAACCCTAACTGGGAGCACTGGGGCGGGCTGAGAAGCGAGCCTTCAGAAACCTGAGGGGGCATGCAGCCTGAGGAAAGCACACCAAAGAGCTTGCAGGGATCCAGCTTGCGAGAACTGTCCAGGAGAGGGCCACCTTCTTTGAAAAATGGACGCAACGCACAATTGTAGCTTGATGATACCTCATCATCAAGCCACCCACGTTATGTTTGTAATTTGCCTTACCATAAGGATGTCTCTACAGCAGTGATTCCCAAAATGTGGTCAGGACCTCCCAGCAGTGGCAACATTACCTGGGAACTTGTCAGAAATCCCAGTTCTCACCCTCACCTCCACCAAGTCAGAAGTTCAGGGGGTGGATGTCCCCAGCAATTTGCGTTTTCACAAGAACCCCAGGAGATTCTGATGCACCATGAAGTCTGAGAGTCACTGGTCTGTAGAGAGGTGATGGTGCTGGCCAGCTGATACGAGTATTGCAGCTTGGAAATGGACAGTCTAGTCTACACGGCAGTTTCCGGCAATTGTGGCTGGCACACACCACGTACAAATCTGCACTGTGAAGCCCCAACAGGGGTTGGAGAAGGAGTATTTCTCAAACTTATGTGATGATGAACTTCCTTTTTCATGGAGCGTCTCCCAGAACAGGTGTTCTGAGAGCCTATTTCCGGAGGAGTCTCTGGGCCTTGAGGTCTCCACCTTATTCCTTGTGCCTTGAAATCGTGAGCACCAAGCAATCCTCTGATTATTTTAGCTTCCCAAGAGGATTTTCCCGCTACGATGAGGGCTCTTTGAAAACTTCTCATTTTGACAAACTGACCTTCTAGTATTTACAATTAGCCTTGCAAATTTGCTCACAGCACTGAGTTGCTCTTCAGAGGTCTAGTTTTGCTTTTTCCCCCCAGAATATCTCTCTTCCTCCATGAGGTGGGTAAATCAAGACTTGTAATCCCCATTTAACAGATGGAGAAAATGGAACCCCCAGGGGTGAAGTGCTAGCAACACAGCCAGGAATAAAGGAAAGAGACTAACAGGTGTCAGATCCTCTCTTGGGAACATAATCCAGTCTTAGATTATGACTGACTATCTTCAAGGAACTAAACTAGCTACCATCTATCTGGCTTGATGCTATATTTACACCCAGCAAGCTTTCTTCCTTTGGTGGGTGAAATTTGTAAATTTAATTTTACTAAAATGGAAACCATGTGCCTCTGTCTGTGGAGGCGGTGTGCAAAGCACTGTGGGATTTATACACAGCAGCTGCTACTCAGAAGCTGGGTCAGAGGACAAAGCCCTTAGGACAGGGGTGGGCAACCCCTGGCACGCGTGCCAAATACGGCACACCAGTAACTTTTGCTGGCAGGCGAAACCCTCTCTTATAATCTTCTATTTACAATTTTTGTGAACATTTGAATGACTTAAATGTTAAATTACAAGGAACTGGCAAGACACTTGATGTTATCTTTGGTTACATAAAGGCTTTTGAAAGGAAACTGGAAGTCATTAAGAGGGATGTGGATGATGAGAGATTTCGATATATCCCAAACCTCAAGAGGCACATCAAAGACCTCCCAAAAGATGACAGAACAGACTGTCAAAGCCTTCAAAAGCTGTTTCTAAACATCATCAAGTCAACTATTGAGCAGTTCTCAAGATTTGCGAAATTCAGAGAACTGGAAGAGACAGCAAAATTCATGAGGTTTCCAGACAGCATGAAACTGGAGGAACTAAACTTACAAATATTTTCATGGATAGACATGACTGACTTTGAAATGCAGTTGATTGAATTTCAGAGTAGCTCAATTTGGAAGCAGAAATTTATTGACTTTAGAGTTGTCTTAGAAAACATTGAAAAAAAGCGATTAGAGACAGGAGTACCAGAGAGAAGTGTCAAAAACGAACTATTGAGGACTTGGAATGCCATTCCAGAGAATTTTTTCTGTTTAAAAAACTTTGCAACAGTGTTACTCTCCATGTTTTCATCCACATACACTTGTGAATCTTTGTTCTCAGTGATGAATTTTGTTAAGTCTTGTAATAGTAGCCTGATGGATGAAAGTAGTAGCTTGTGCATATCTCTGAAGGTCACGAAATATAAACCTGATGTAAAATCTGTCATCAGTGATGCAGCAGCAAAAGTCCCACTGATAATATCAAACAGAGTCATAAAGTTTTCTGTCGGACTATCAGTGTACATGTATACATTAAAAAATAAGTGTACTTCTCATCATCATATACTGTGTTTTGTTGCTCGAATGAATTTTATTATTTCTTCAAGGTTCTTCACATACGTACACCTTAGGAGATATCAAGTAGGCATAACATGTTCTCAAAAAATTAGGGATGGCACGCAGAAGAATTTTGAGTCAGAGATTTTGCTGGTTTTGGCACGCGCTCACTAAAAGGTTGCCCACCCCTGCCTTAGGACATTTTTCCCACTCCGGCCCCAGACCTCAACTCCCTCTGGTATTGAACAGAAGAGATATACCTACCCCAGATCATTATTAGTATCTTTCAAATCAACCATTTTCCTCTTCAGAAGCTCTATTTCCTTATTTAACCTTGCAACTTCCATCCGTAATTGTTTTATCTCAAGAAGGTTTAATTTGCGAGCAGCGATGACAAATTCTTAAAAGTAAGTGGAAATATTTACTGTTACTTGAGAAACAGCACAATTGTAGACACTAACTTTTCAAATCATGGACAAATTGCCTTTCTTTGAAATATTCTTTAAATTGTGTTTCTGTATCACAACACCTCTTCTTTACCCCTTTGGACCTTCTCAATCTTATCTATCAATTATTTCTCTTATTATTTCAGTTGCTGCTATGGTGACCAGCTTTCTATGGGCTCTGAGCAACTTGAGACTGGTGCATCTGACAGCACCTGATGCCCGCTTTTTCCATCCACTCCTCACCTTCTGCCTGGCACTTCCCTGTTGCCTTTATCATGGGACTTCTTTAAATTTTAAAATATGCCTTTATTTATTTGAGAGAGAGAGGAAGAGAGAGACAGAAATATTAACGAGAGAGAAACATAGGCGGGCTGCCTCCTGCATAGGGATTGAGCCCGAAACCTGGGTATGTGTCCTGACTGAGAACTTCTCTAGGTACCCACAGCCATGCATGTGAACGCAAAGCGCAGAGGTGGGGCAAAACACTGGACCAGAGATCAACAGGAGCCTACTAGTACCTGGATGGTCCTGAGAAGAGGTAACTGTGTCTTAGGGGCATGTTCTCCTACTTCAATAGTTGCATTTGACAACAGTCAACATCATATTGTACGGCATATTAGCTCTCCCTTCTCCCCACTTTGGTCTCTGTACCCTTCTCTCCTCCTTCTTGAATTGTACTGCCTAATAAAACATAGGGCAAAAGCCATTGCCTCTGGTTCTGTTGTCTAGGGAACTCAGTGTGTTAAAAACATACACTAATTATTCACCAGTAAATAACAAATCAGTGTAATCACATGAGACTTCAGAAGACTATCTCAGTGCATGACAGACAGATGGTAACAATGCATGAATTTTGAATACGGCTGTTTAGCAAAGTCCCGGATGACCCATTTCTACACATACAATTTCCTAGAAATGAACTGGTATCTTCCCTGAGAGAGCTGGGTTATTTTTTTCTAGGCTACTAGTTCAATTGTCCATTGTAGCAGGACTTCTCAAACTCTCTGTCTCAAATCTGCACATGCAACACCTGGGGATCTTGTTGAAATATAGGTTCTAATACAGCAGGTATGGGATGAGCATAGAGACTGCATTTTGTAACAGGCTCTCAGGTGATGCTGATGGTGCAGATCCAAGAATCATCTTTTGAGTAGCAAAGCTTGACTCATAAGGCCAATTAAAGTTACTTGGTTAAGCAGTCAGCATGTATCAAGGATTTATAGGCTCATATGGTATTTTTTTTCTTCTAAAATATTTTTTTCCTGATTATAAAAGTAACTCAACCTAGAAATAAAAAAGCAACCAAAGAAAATAAAACAAAAACACTCTTAATTATGCCTTTGGTGAGGATTTCTTCCAAGGATGATTCTTCTCTGCATGTATAGTTGGTTGTATTTTCCCTGCCAACTTAGACTAACATTGTGCATGTTGTTTTATAACCAAATGTATCACTAAGGGTCCAATTAGGTCATAGGAATCTTATATAAGTTGATATAAAATTATTGATTATAACAGGATTAGAGAAATGAGGGAATGAACAAGAAAAAGTAAAGAGAACTCTAAAGAATTTAGGAGCAGCAGGCATAAGGAACAGCCACCATGCCCAGGGCTGAGACAGAGTGCCCTCGGAGAAGCAGCACCTCACACATGAGATCCAGACTTCACTGGAGGTGGCTGTGGCTCATTGCATGGCTCAGAGATGTTCATTAAATACTGGGCTGGCAATCTGGCTTCTGAGGTGTTGGGGGAATCTGTCCAAGGGAGGTGCCATACTTTAGAACTCACTGAAAACCACCCAAGGGTGCTGGGGAAGCTGTGCATTAATCACAATAGCCATTGGTGAATGGATGGATAAATATTATACATACACACACACTCCCTTATTTCCTCAGGAATATTGTTCAATCTTAAAAAGGAATTCTGACACATGCTACAACATGGATGAACCTTTAAGGCATTATGCCAAGTGAAATAAAACATTCACAAAAGGACAAATATTGTGTGATTCCACTTATATGAGGTACCTATAGTAGCCAAACTCATAGAAAACTGGTGATTTAGGCCAGTCAAGCTGCCTAATTTAGTTGGATAAATATCAATTTGGAATAGGCTGATCTATATATCTTTAGCCTATTTATAAACTAAATTATATAAATTTTATATATATATATATCCAGTGCATGAAATTTGTGCACTGGGGGGGGGGATGTCCCTCAGCCTAGCCTGCACCCTCTCCAATCTGGGACCCCTTGGGGAATCGGGCATCCCTGGCAGTTGGACATCCCTCACAATCTGGGACTGCTGGCTCCCAACCGCTCGCCTGCCTGCCTGATTGTCCCTAACTGCTTCTGCCTGCCAGCCTAATCACCCCCTAACCACTCCCCTGCCAGCCTGATCGATGCCTAACTGCTCCCCTGCTGGTCCGGTCGCCCCCAACTGCCCTACCCTGCCGGCCTGGTCACCCCTAACTGCCCTCCTCTGCTGGCCTGGTCGCTCCCAACTGCCCTCCCCTGCAGGGCATCTTGTGGCTGCCATCTTGTGATGATATGGGTGGGGCCATCTTTTTTAAAAAAATATATTTTATTGATTTTTTACAGAGAGGAAGGCAGAGGAATAGAGAGTTAGAAACATTGATGAAAGAGAAACATCGATCAGCTGCTTCCTGCACACCTCCTACTGGGGATGTGCCCGCAACCAAGGTACATGCTCTTGACCGGAATCAAACCTGGGACCTTTCAGTCTGCAGGCTGACTGACGCTCTATCCACTAAGCCAAAGCAGTTAGGGCAGGGGGGTGGCCATCTTGGGATGCCATGGGGGCGGCCATCTTGTGCAAGGGTGTGGCAGTCAATTTGCATATTACCTCTTTATTATATAGGATATGATTTCCACTTAAAATGCCGCTGTGTTTGTGTCTCACTGTGTTTATGTCATGTACTCTTCTAGCTTATTTTGAGATGAAATACCTAAGCTAACCTTATTTTATAATAAATTAAACTCATCTTTTTACAAGGGCTTCATTCTATTTTCTTTTTTTAATGAAAAGTGTTTAATGTTGATATTATTGCAGGTGTCCCCCATCTCCCCCTTCTTTGCCCACCTCTACCCCTCATCCCCCGGCCTCGGCCTTCATCACGCTGTCGTCCACGTCCATGGAGAAAGCATATATGTTCTTTCGCTAGTCCCTTCACCTTCTTTACCCAGTCACCCTCAAAATACCTTCGAGTTCTGTGTTAATGTGATCAGGAAGAGTTTCCAATAGAAAATATAGTCTACTGAGTTCCATGCTTTCAATTTCCAGATGTTCAATTGTAGCTCTTCTCATTTCTTCCTAAAGATTTAAATTACATATTAAAATAATAAAATTTATCTCTTAAACAATGCCCTATAAATGTTTTCAAAGGTCAAAATGTAATTTTCATTAAATACCTTCTGCTGCTATTTTTATTTGGAATAGAAAGTAGGAAACATAACTACAATCAGTTTTAAGGTGTCACTGTTAATTTATTTTTTTTAACTTCCACTTATTTTCTCCTACTCAGAAATCATCTTTCTGTATGTGTGTTTCCTATTTGCAGTTTCAACCAATTTAAAGACTTCAACAAAAAGGGTAACATTGAGAAAGAAAACTAGTTAATTAAAATTAGAAAATGCCTATAAAAATATGCTTATGTATAAAGAGAACAACAGTTCTCTTTACATACCTACAAATCCAAACAAAAAGTCAGATAAGCCTGTTATTATTATTAACTCATAATTTTTTGGGGGGGGTTATCTGAAAAAGAATAAAAATCTGTTCATGGAACAATAGATGAAATTATCTTTTAAATAAATGGCTGCAATGGCTATAGGTATTTTATGACCTGAGAAATTACTATTATTTTTATTAATAATGAAAAGCAGGTTATATAATTGTATATATAGTATGATCAGGTTTCTTTAAAAAATAAAATTCAATACAGGCATCATCTATACCCTGAAAGTAGGAAGAACATTCATCAGGAGTTAACTGTGACTATTGTAGGGTGGTGGGATCATCATGGTTTTTACTTTCTTCCTTTTGCTTGTCTATTTTTTTTCTGTTTTCCAGAGTAAACTTGTGTGCTTTTATAATAGTGAAAATGTGCTACTTTAAAAAATGGAAGGATTTATCTCTAAGAGATTTCACAGGTCAGGTGTTAAATGGAGACATACTAGGTACTTTAATAAGCCACACTAAATACTTTGATCCCTTCAATCCCTAGAGAAAAACATAACTGAAAACAAAGCAGAAGAGGTTTTCATGAGATCACAGTGCAGTACAACATGCGTAAACTCTAAAGAGTATGTATTCTACTAGTATATGCATATACTCTACATGTATTCAAATAAGTGTAATTATAAGGTATAATTCTATAGTATGCATACACAACTATATATAACTAGAGGCCCATGTGCACAAAAATTTGTGCACTCGGGGGGGTCCCTCAGCCCGGCCTGTGCCCTCTCTCAGTCTGGAATGCCTCAGGGGATGACCACCTGATGGCTTAGGCCTGCTTCCCGGAGGATAGAGCCTAAGCTGGCAGTCAGACATCCCTCTGGCAGCCCGGGAGCCCTCAGGGGATGTCCACTTGCCAGTGGGGAGCAGGCCTAAGCTGCAGTTGGACATCCTTAGCACTGCTGAGGAGGCGGGAGAGGCTCCCACCACCACCACTGTACTGGCAGCCGGCAGCCTGGCTTATGGATGAGCAGAGCTTCCCCTGTGGGAGTGCACTGACCACCAGGGGACAGCTCCTGCATTGAGCGTCTGGCTCCTGGTGGTCAGTGTGTGTCATAGTGACCAGTCATTCCCAGTCGTTCTGCTGTTAGGGTCAGTTTGCATATTACCCTTTTATTATAAGGATAGAGGCCTGGTGCATGAGTGGGGGGCCTGGTACATGGGTGGGGGCCAGCTGGTTTGGCCTGAAGGGTGTCCCGGATCATAGTGGGGGGTCCCGCTAGGGTGCCTGGCCAGCCTGGGTGAGGGGCTGATGGCTGTTTGCAGGTTGGCCACAGCCCCTTCAGGGTGGGGGTCCCCACTGGGGTGCCTGGCCAGCCTGGGTGAGGGGCTCAGGGCCGTTTTCAGGCTGGCCACACCCCCTTCAGGGTCAGGGGTCCTGCTGGGGTGCCTGGCTAGCCTGGGTGAGGGGCTGAGGGCCGTTTGCAGGCTGACCAAGCCCCCCAGCAGGGACCCTCACCCCATGTGGGTGTGGCCATCCTGGGTGAGGGGCTGATGGCTGTTTGTAGGCTGGCACAGCCCCCAGCCACCCAAGCTCTCAGTGGAGGCTGGCTGGAAGCAGGTATCTGGGATTTATTTATCTTCTACAGTATAATTGAAACTTTGTTGCCTTGAGTGGAGGTCACAGCCTGTCAGGGCAGGCGGGAAGGTTGGCTTTCTCCATCGCCGGGGCAACCAAGCCTCCTGCTTGCTCCATCTCCATGGCTGCCGGCCGCCATCTTGGTTGGGTTAATTTGCATATAGTTGCTCTGATTGCCTGGTGGGCGTGGCTTGGGGCTTACTGGAGGTGCAGTCAATATGCATGTTTCTCTTTTATTAGATTAGATACTAGAAGCCCAGTGCACAGATTCATGCACTAGTGGGGTTCCTCCCTGGGCCTGGTCTGTGGGGTCAGGCTGAAACCAGCTCTCCGATATCCCCCGAGTGGTCCTGGATTGCGAAAGGAAGCAGGCTAGGCCAAGGGACCCCACTGGTGCATGATCAGGGCTAGGGAGGGACCGTGGGAGGGCTCCAGGGCATGTCCGGCCCATCTCACCCAGTCCCAATCAGCTGGATCCCAGCAGCAAGATAATCTACTGGTTGCAGCGTCTGCCCCCTGGTGATCAGTGCATGTCATAGTGACTGGTCGAACGGTTGAACAAACAGTCGGACACTTAGCATATTAGGCTTTTATTACATAGGATAATTGTAAAGTAATGAGATTAACTTTTATCAGCAGTCTCTAGACCCAAACTCATTTACTTTACAGTCATATTTTTATATTTTTAGATATTTGATATGTAGTAGATTCTTATTCAATATTTTTAAATCAAATAAAGAGACCTCACTATTCTAACCCTTCTGGGGAAGCATTGTAAATGTCACCAAGGACCAAAGAGAAAAGTTTGTGACTTCAATAGAAAATTATTTAAATCTTTCTTTGTGGGGTTGAATTAACATAACCAAAAGAATTTCTGTTCATTTATTTTCACTGAACAGCAAGGTCTACTTCAGGGAAATGGGAGCAAGAATTGCTTATAGAGAACTAAGTTCATTGGTACCACACATGCAATTAATTTCAGAGGTTGTCTGTCTTAACCAATACTTACATATTGGTGTCCTAAGCATTTGCGCATTTGGCTCACCCCTTAGCTGAGCTCTGTTATCACCAGTATTGCTTCTGTTTAGCGGGCTTGCCCTCATCCATAGCACAAGTCTTTTTTTTTTTTTTTTTTTTTTTTTTTTTAAGGAGGGGAAACAGGGAGAGAGAGAACTAGAGAAACATCAGTGTGAGAGAAAAACATCAATGTGAGGCACATCAATTGATTGCGTCCCATATGCCCCAAGGGCAGAGATCAGACCTGTAACGCAAGTACCTGCCCTTGACCGGAATCAAACCCATGACCTTTCAGTCCACAGGCCGACACTCCAAACACTGAGCCAAACCAGCTAGGGCCATAGCACAGGTCTTAATTAAGTGCTCTGCATGGAAAATCAGGCAACAGTCCACCATTGAGCAACACTGGTTAAAATGCTTAGTAAATTAAGAGGAAAAAAATTTTATAAATCTTTTCTTATGTATCTATTGAAATACCTTGAACAGAGTTGGTGTTAAATTAAAGTTTGATGAAGAAATAAGTGGAAGATTGGGGGGAAAAAACTCTTATAGATAATACAATACCAATCTCCTGACAGCTATAGCAATGTCCTTAAGAAAGATGGTAGCTTCTTCGTTGCATTTAAAATAGTCACTTTGCAGTGATTGTTCTAAAAAAAAAAAAAGTAGAAAATTAAGATCTCATATTTATCTGTTCAAATCCTATTTAACCCTTTAAGATCTAGCTCAAATGTTTACTCAGCTGGAAATTATATCTTCTATCTCTGAATTTCTGTAGGACTTTATATAAATCTCTTTTGTATTTGTTATTTTCTATTCCATTCTATTCTAATTTAGGGATATATTTTATTCTCCTTGAGTCCATCTTTGCATCTCATGGTGAAAAGAGAATGTTTATAGCATAGGCAAGAAATTCAACAAACATTTATGAAAGATATAAATATAACAAGCCTATAATGTAGGTTTGTATAGGAATGTTTTCTTATATGTTAGTATTTTGCCCAAAAACACACATTTAATTAACTGTATAACAATCTAAGTCAACTCTTGTAAACTTATGATGATTTCTATTTCACAGGTAAGAAATCTAAGACTTTGAGGTCATGTCATATGTTCAAGGTCACAGAGCCCATCACTGACAGAGTCTGGATTCAAATGTAAGTGGTGTGACTACAGGGTCCATGCCCTAAAGAGTTCTATTTACTTTCAGAAAAGTAAATAGCAGTTTCTGCCCTCACTTCCAGGGAACTTGAATTCTCTTAATGAAATAAGCTCTCAAACCAAATGAAAATCAGTTACGGAGTTTGCAAGCAAGTGTGTGTTAGAGAGGGACGGGCATTGCCTGCTATTTCCTTTTCTTTCTTCTAAGGCAGTGGCTCTCAACCTTCCTAATGCGCGACCCTTTAATACAGTTCCTCATGTTGTGGTGACCCCCAACCATAAAATTATTACAGCTACTTCATAACTGTAATTTTGCTACTGTTATGAATCGTAATGTAAATATCTGATATGCAGGATGTATTTTCATTGTTACAAATTGAACATAATTAAAGTATAGTCATTAACCACAAAAACAATATGTAATTATATATGTGTTTTCCGATGGTCTTAGGTGACCCCTGTGAAAGGGTCGTTCGACCCCCAAAGGGGTCGTGACCCACAGGTTAAGAACATCTGTTCATAGGAATGAATGAACCCAAGAGCTTGATCCCATTTGCAAAGGAGTTGGAGAGCTACTACATATTTTATAACTCACACTAAGGACAAGAGGCTCAATTAAGTTTTTCTTCCTAAGAAAAACTTTCTGAAGGTTCAAAAATTAGCAGAAAAAAATATTTGTGAGTGAATGGGTATGCTGGTCTAGACGACCTAGGACAAACATGAAAATACTCCTCCAAAACTTGTAAGAATTGTGAAGTTAAATTCGTTCATCTAAGAAGGATAAAAGAAGCTGTCCCAAACTGAGTAACATTATGACAGATATCAGTAAAGTTATCTGGAAACAATGAGATTATTAGAGTAAAGCAAGGAGATGCTTTGTTGTTCGGTGTAAATGGTTTATGAGCTGAACAAGACACCCTTCCTTGGACTGTCGCACCTTAAGCTTATGTAAGGTCAGGTTTAGCTTCTTAAATGAGGAAGTATTTTAACACTAGAAAGACTGAAATTTAGTATACACCTATATTGCCCAAAAGCAGTCAAAATGACTGCATTGTGAAATAATAATATCGGCGCACTCTTCACTTATGTTCCTTAGCTTTTCCAATAACGCACTTCTATTCGACATTTCTTTCATGAATTTAGGGCGCAAAAATAAAATAAAATAAACAACTTATTAGAACAACTATCACTGCATAAAGATTCGAATAACAAGTACTAGTTTAGCTTATTGAGCAACTGCAACTTATCAAGTATCGACAATTTATCATGTACTTGTATTTTATCATGTGACGGTAATCAAAAAAAAAAATGAAAACTGTTATTTCAATACAGAGCCGAACTGTTATTACTCAATTCAATAATAAGAATCATTTGATTATTTAAAATTTCCCAAGCAGTCAAAATGACTGCTTTTGGGCAATATAGGTATAACACATATATCTATATACCAGAAATGAAGGAGGGGGAGGTAACTACAATTATTAATAAACGCATTTATATGTTGTACAAAAAGTCACAAAATTCTAAGACATTGTGTCCTTATATACATAATTGTTTTTCTAATTGAAATTAAAAAGCAGTCAAAATGACTTCCTTGGGCAATCTAGTGTTAACCTGGCCCCACCCAAGGTTATTATCTGTTTCACCTCCTTAACACCCCTCTCTAATATTCCTTGCCTAATATGACAAGAGCTTCTTAAACACTCCTGTCGTATTAGGCAAGGAGATGCTTTCTTGTTTGCCTGTTAAATTTTCCAGTTTGCCCTGGCACAATGTTGGAGGAAATTAACTTGTGAAGGAAAGCCACGAAGGGAAAAGGGAAAACTGAATGCACAATCTAATGCAGGTGGGCACTGCAGGTGCAGATAAATGGCAATGGCCTGGGAGTCCAGGAGTTGTCACCAGCTGCTGGTGTGAGTTGGGCCAAGTCACTCCAGTGGCACGACAGCACGAGGGCTGAGCCCTGGGTCCCACCCTGTCGCCTCTCTCTAACCCTAGGACCGGAGAAGGCTCTGCTCAAGCCAGGGATGCACTGAAGGTTCCTGCTAAGCTTAGCGCCCCTTCTCCGAGGACCCCCTCCCAGCGCCCGCGGGCCTCTCACCCACAATAAAGAGCTGCTCCAGCGCTGCGGTCGCGACTACGGAGCCCAGGGTGGAGGGGAAGGTGCTTAAATCCAGGGAGGGGCCGGTGGAGACGGCGACCTGCTTCAGCTTTTCGCTGAACCCCAGCTCCGGAGACCAGGAGTGTAGCGCCATCTTTCTGCTCCTGTGCCGCCCACTTGACCAGAGGCAAGGACGCCCGCCCGTTGCCACGGGCAACGAGGTCGCCCACGCAGGCGCACCAGCTGTGGCCCTCCCGGCGGCGTCTCTAGCTACATTCACAATAATTAAGCTGTACCGGAAGCAACCCCTCTGGAGCGGTCCTTCTCTCCATGTCCCTTTCTTTAGCGCAGCCCTCGCACCTGTCTCGTGGACCTTGGGAATCAGTAAGGATCGTCTTGAGCGCGGCTCTGTGCCAGGCACTCCTGGAGGAGCTTAGTTTTCACAGTGACTTTGTGAGGCAGGTTCTTTCACACACATGTGCTAATTTTAAATGAACCTAGGTAGTTGCCCACCTGCAAGGTATTTTGTGTTTCACAAAATGTCCATTTTGTAACTGCTCCCGTGACTTATTTAGTCTTTGTCATAACGCTTCAGGGAGATTTTTATGGTTATCCCATTTTTCAGAACATCTTACTGAGGTGAGAGATGCAGTAACCTGGGGGTAACCGCTGCCCCCGGCCCTTAGGATTGGACAATGGCAAGGCAGTTTCCCACCCCGGGTCTGCCAGAGCTGCCCTGTGACTGTGCAACCAGGGCAGGGAGTGGGGCTGGACAGCCAGGCACTGGGGCGTGGCTGCAGAGTATGGGGTGCAGGAGCCCAGCCTGAAATGGAGGCTGTGAATTTACCGTCGGGCCTTGAATTCTGAATTCAGGAGTTTGGGTTTTACTGCTGCAGGCAATGCTGCTCTGAATAGGAAGATGAGAACAGATTAAGGGGCTCCCTGCTGGCAGCTGCTTGGTAAACAGTTTATTTCTGCCTCAGGTAACGTTATGGTAGAGCAGAATATTCTTGTCAATTACAGGCATTATGATTTTTTTCAAGGAATCATCTTGCAGAGTAATCAGAAATTAAATTGGGCCTGAAACAACCAACCCATATTTGGCATAAATGTCTTATTCATTTTTATTATTAAGTGGCATCCTAAAAAGGTAGCAGTGATCATTGTTAATGCTCACTTAGTATTTTTACAGACATTTCAAACACTCATGATCTTAAAGTAGCAATATTCTTATTTTTCTTATTTTTAATTTATTTAGTTCTTATTTTTACAAAATGTTTTAGATGATTCATCTGAAGATGATTCAGTAAAGATCACTGGTGTATTAAGCCCTCCATTTGATTTAAAAATCTTTGCCTTTGCCCAAGCAGCATGGATCAGGGATGGAACACAGACCTATGAACAAGGAGGTCACAGTTCCATTCCTGGGTACCCAGGTTGTGGGTTCCATCCCCAGTGTGGGGCGTGCAGGAGGCAGCTGATCAATGAGTCTCTGTCATCTCTCTCCCTCTCCCTTCCTCTCTGAAATCAATAAAAAAAAATTTAAAATTTTTTGCCTTCTTTTCTTTTTGTCTAGCTAAGGTTTTGTCATTTTTTAAAAATCAACTCAGTTTTATATATTTTCTATTGTTTTTCTATTCCTTATTTGAATTATTTTTGTTTTAATTTTTATTATTTCCTTCTGCTAACTTGGGGTTTAGTTCATTATTCTTTTCTAGTTTCTTTAGGTGTACAGTTAGGCTGTTTATTTGAGATACATATATATGTATTTTAATTTAGGCCTTTATCCCTATAAACTTTCCTTAATTACTACTTTTGCTATATCCTATATGTTTTTCTAATTTGTGTTTTTGTTTTCATTTGTCTTGAGGTATATCAATTTTTTAATTTAAAAATATGTTTTCATTGATTTCAGAGAGGAAAGGAGAGGGAAAGGGAGAGATAGAAACATCAATGATGAGAGAGATTCATAGATTGGCTGCCTCCTGCAGGCCCCCCATTGGGGATCCAGCCTGCAACCTGGGCATGTGCTCTGACTGAGAACCGAACTGTGACCTCCTGGTTCATGGGTCCACCGACACTCAACCACTGAGCCACACTGGCCAGGCTTGAGGTATATTTTAAATTCCCTTTTGATTTTCTCTATGACCCAATAATTGTTCAAGAGTATTATTTATTTTCCACGTATTTGTGAATTTCCCCATTTTCTTGCTTTTACTCATTTCTGGTTTCATTCCAGTGTGCTCCGAAAAGATACATGGTATAATGTCTATCTTTTCAAATTTGTTAGGACTTGTCTTGAGGCCTGACATGTGATCTGTCATAGAGACTGTTCTGTGTGTCCTTGAGAATGTGTATTCTTCTGTTGGGTGAAAAGTTCTGTATATGTCTTTCAGATACATTTGGTCTATAGGTTCGCTCAAGTCCATTCTTTCTTTATTGATCTTTCTGTCTGGATGTTCTATACATTATTGAATGTGGGGTGTTGAAGTCTCTCACTATTATTGTATTGCTTTCTCTTTCTCCTTTCAGATCTGTCAATATTTATTTTATATACTCAGGTGCTCTGATATTGGGTGCGTGTATATTTACAATTGTTGTATCTTCATGTTAAATTGACCCTTTTATCATTGTGTAATGACTGTCTTTGTTTCTAAAGACAATTTTTGTCTTAAAATCAACTTCACCAAAGAGTTTCATACTTTATATTCTCACGTTGCTATTTAGTGTCTTTCATTTCTACTTGAAACACTCGATTTAGCATAGTAGGGAGGAACCAGAGACAGGTAATTCTAGCAGGATTATTTTAAAAGGCTGCGACCCAGGATGAAAGCAATTAAATTTACTCATTGAAGAAAACGTGGCCAGCCAAATTAATTCTGTAATATTGCATTATTGAACTGAAGATAAATTAGCAAAAATATCATATCGAGGAGCTCGAGGATGATGCTTAAACAAAGCACTAACTAGAGGAGCAGGTTGGAGTCTATAGGCAAATGACACTCCTGTCTGACTAGGCAAAGCTTGGTTATTCCCTGTCTAACCACCGCCATGTTGGCTAACACTAGGACACTAATAGTGGCTCCTTCACATCTCCCACCTTCTTCTCTACACTCAGAAGAAAGGGCTGAAGTTTGGGGTCTTGGAGATGCCCTATTCAAGGACAATGTGGCGATTGATAGAACTATACAGTAGTGAAGCAAGGCCCAGCACGTGGCCTTTCTCAAGTGCATGCGGGTAAGGGAGGAGCTGCCCCACTACTTCTCAGCAGTGATTCCTAACAGTGGGAAACAAGGAGAAAGAGATCTGGGTTCCACATAGGAGGGAAAGTCTTCACAGGGGTATAAGGGCCAGTGTGAGGCCTGGGATGGTGTTATGGGTTGAACTGTGTCTCTCCCCGCGCCCCCCCCCCGCCGCCCCCCAAGAATATATGTTGAAGTCCCAAACCCCAGCATCTCAGAATGTGACCTTATTTGGAAAGAGGGTATTTTACCAAGGCAATTAAGTTCAAGTGAGGTCATTAGGGTGGGCCCTAATCTGATAGACTGGTGTCCTTATAAAATGGGGAAATTGGACACAGAGGGAGGAGGATGTGAAGACACACGGGAAGAAGATGGCCATGTGCCTGAAGTGATGCACCACATGTTGCTGGCAACCACAAAAGCTGGAAGAGGTAAGGAGGAACTCTCCCCTAAAGCTACTGGGGAGAGAGGATGGCCCTGCCGACACCTTGGTTTTAGACTTCCAGCTTCCAGAACTGTGAGAGAATACATTTCAGTTGTAATAAGAATTTTCTACTGTTCTCAGCTTTCAGAATAACCTCACTCACTCTGGGTCCCTGGGGGCTCTGTCCTTGGTCCTCTTCTTTCCTGTTCACTGGGCCCTCACTTTGTATCTATCATCTTGAATATCAACTTAACAGATGCTTCCTGTAGAAGCAGGATACAATGGGGCCTTGACTTAGGAGTGTCCCGACTAACGAGTTATTCCAATACGAGCCGTCCCCGGCTGATTTTTTGCTTTGAGTTGACAGAGTAATTTGAGTTAACGAGCTCCTTAACGAGCTCTGTCACAGAACGAATTAAACTCGTAAGTCAAGGCCCCACTGTATTATGTGCCCTGAATTCCATTTGGTAAAATTCTACATCCATACCTATCATTTTGTAAGGCTGGACTGTCCTCAGGAAATTTTCTTCACAACTGTTAGCAAATGCAATTCCTCATAAGATCCTCCTACTGCTTATGCAAAGCTGCTTATGCAAAGAATTCTGGGCCCATAAGTATGAGGAAAATGCTGCCAATGCAGATACTGGGGAAGGTTAATTCAGCATAACAGAGCCATTTAGAAGAAACTTTATCTTCAAGGTTGGAGACTGAGATACACACATGAAAAAAAAAAATCCTCTTCTGTATCTAGTAAACATAAAAAATAGTAGGGACCAAACTAAGCTTATTGTCTTCCTTCCCAAATCAGCTCTTTTAGGCTTTCTATTCTCAAAAATGGTCTTGCATTCTCCTGACCAGCTAGTATTAGACAGAGGTGAGCGAGGGCGGGGCATGCGAGCTGCCTAGCGTGCCTAGGAGGCACTAACTCTCAGGTCGGCCTTGGTTGAAACACCATATCTAATCGCCAGCGCCAGTCTCATCTCCCTCCATGTAATCTCTTAGGGCCTAAGTCTGAGACTCAGGCAGTCCTCTGTGCACAGTGGGTGCCTGGCAGGTTGGGCTGATATAAAGGATCAGGAACAGGTGGATACCTCCCTTCTATTCTCACTGTGGCTACTTTAGTAGAGGCCTAGTCATTTGACACCTGCTTGCTGTTAGTTATGTGATAGTTGTTTCCTATAGTCTTCTAATCTCTAGTATCAGGCACCCTCCATGTGTTTATGTGACTCTGAGATCTAAAGAACGAAGACCAGGCCCTTGGTGTTTCTTTCTAGTGTGATCTAGACCCAGCCCGTCAGCCTTAACTGACATGACCATTCCCACCCCAAGCACCTTACAGCCCAATCCAGCTTATTACACACGGTGTGTGCCATGCACTACCATGTCTTAGCACCTTAGTTCATGTTCTTTCTTTATGCTGGAATGCACCTTCTCTATCTGGAGAAAGCCAGATCAGGACCCAGCCCCAAAGCTCACCTTCTCTGTCGCTCCTATGTCACGCTGCCTTTTATTTAGTTAGCATTTCCACAGAGCCACCTCCCACCTCCCCCATTTTGGCTATTGGCACAGTGTCCAGTTGCCCTGCGGTCTCCATTAGTGCTTATAAACCTGCATACAGGTCAAAGGCAGCTTTTGTAACTATTCCTTTTATCTCCCACTACTTTTATTCCTCCCACTGCTCCAACTTGCATCCACTTCTACCAGGTCATCCTTGACTTTTGACTCTAAGAGTGAAATAAAATGTGCAACTGGACTTTTGACAAAAAGTGAACAATGGTTAGAAGACCTATCTTGGTGATGGTAGGAATTGTAGTCTCTCTTATTCACAGTCCTAGTCTCAGGACTAGGGGCTCACACGTCAGGGCTCAATAAATAATTCCAAAAAGAGTGAGTTCATAGCAATTTTAATTGTTTCATACCAGTGTTGTGTTGTATATTATAAGAATTTTATGGAAGGATTTATATAACTTCCAATTTTAAAAAAAACCTACTTAAAATATCTGTGTCAACCACACAATATAATATACAGTCTTTTCCAGTTTTGGTGATTTCTATTAATAGCCCAAAGTAGCCATATGCCAGGTTGGGGTTGGACCGTATGGTCCTGGAGACAGGAGAAAAATGAACACTTGGTCTCATCCTTCCCAACATATATGTCCTCCGGAGATTTCGTCTCTTACAACTTTTGCATTTTCTAGTAAGACCACAAAAAGAGAGGGAGAAGTTTTTACATTTATTAACATTTATTTATGCATTCAATACCAAGTACAGAAGTGCAAATATCCAGAGTCCATAATTAAATCCATTAGGAACTACAGAGAAAGTAATACAAATTGTAATAAAGTTAACAAGCTGGTACTCTTTCGTTACCATACATGTAAATCAGCCCGTCAGTCCCACACAACAAAAGTACCACCTGTCTGTTTTGGATTTATTCATTCATTTAATTATTTTAAGTTATACAAAACTGATTACCATAAGTACAGCCAACTGTTTTTATTTTTACGTTGTGTGTGTTGGAAAAACACTAAGACATCGGTCTACACTTCTATATATTGTTATTAAAGATTAATCCGACCAGCAGCCCAAGGACATAAAAGCGATTTTCACTACTGCGTCAGGGCACTCAGCGGGAAAGGCCTAGCCACGGGAACATGAGAAGCTACAGAAGCATTGCAGGGAGGAGGAGAAGAACACCAAAGAAGGAAAGATAACTTGGGCTCTCACCATCATGCACGTTTTTTTAGCAACACGAAATTAAAAACCACATCTAATACACTTTTCTCTATACTTTAGTGTTTGACACAAGTGACTCAAATATCCTAAGAGTACAGGAACAGCCTAAAAACAGCTGTTGCAAAGTTTGTCTCTAAGATTATGGTACTGGGGGGAGAAACAATCGACTTGCCGTAACACTTAAAAAGAGAGCGGTTACCACTCCAGACATTTCTGTTGTGCCCAGTCCCGGTGGGATATCAGTTTACTCAGCGTGCCTTTTAGCGCCTGGGATTTTAGCCTGGATCCTAAAAAGACAACATCAAAGGTAATAAATCACAAGTGTTATTAATAAAAGGATTTTATGACATTATGTGTTGTTGCTTTAATTAGCTTAAGTGATCGAATAGCTTAATATTTCAAAAATAATAATCTTTATGTATGAATGTCCACAAACACATTCTTTCTTCTTCTTTTTGAAGTGGTTTTTAAAAAAACATTTTACTTTTCAATTGCAGTTGACATTCAATATTATTTTGTATAGTTTCGGGTGTGCAGCGCAGAGACAATCATATACTTTATTTAAAGTGCCCCCCTCAGTATTTCTAGTGCCCACCTGGCACCATACATAGTCATTACAATATCATTGACTCTATTCCCTATGCTGGACTTTACATCCCTGTGACTATTCCGTAATACCAATTTGTGCTTCTCAATCCCTTCATTTTTTCACGCTGTCCCCCAACGCCCCCTCCCCTCTGCAACCATCAGTGTGTTCTCTCCGAATCTATGAGTCTGCATAACCACAGTCCCTTGCAACAATAGGAAGAATGTGTAAATCAGACAATGAATGATCCAAGAAGGCCACGTTTCTTAAATTATAACTTTTTAGGTGGACAAAGATAGTGACTTATTTCAGGATTACAGCAGCTGTGGTAGAGTTAGGTGACCATTTATCACCAGTCTGGGACACTTCTGAAAGAGAAAGACAGTGCTGTTACTAACTATTCCAGGACATTAGGCATAAACGGAGATGGTCCCAGGTAACGGAACCTATGACTAATCTCAGCGTAGCCAAACTACCCAGCCTGGAATGAAGAAACCTGAGTCCTAGTCCCTGCTGTGCTACCAGTCAGCTGTGTGACGTAAGGCCAGCTAATGAGCTTTCCTGGTCCTACAGCGTCCATTTTTAAAGTGTGGGTATATCTCAAAAAAACACCCCAAAACAGTAATTTGAAGAAATATATGCAGCACCCCTATGTTCACTGCAGCATTATTTATAATAGCCAAGATATGGAAGCAACCCAAGTGCCCATCAATAGACAAGTGTATAAAAAAGTGGTGGTACATACATATAATGGAATATTACTGGACCATAAAAAAAATGCAGTCTTATAATTTTTGACATTATGGATGGACCTAGAAGGTATAATGGTAAGTGAAATAAGTCAGGGAAAAATAAATCCCATATGATTTCACTTATATGTAGAATCTAAAGAACAACATAAAAGAATAAGCAAAATAGAAATATTCATAGATACAGAGAACAGACTGATGGTTGCCAGAGGGGAGGGGTGTTGGGGGACTGCGTGAAAAAGGTGAAGGGATTAAGACACACAAATTGGGAGTTACAAAATAGTCACAGGGGTGTGAAGTACAGTATAGGGAATATAGTAATTAATATTGCAATAACTATGTATGGAGCCAGGTTGGTACTTGAAATATCAAAAAAATCACTTTGTCAAGTATATGATTGTCTAACCACTATGCTGTACACCTGCAACTGATAAAAAAATAATATTGAATATAGACTGTAATTGAAAATTAAAAGTAAAAAATAAAATGTGTGATTTGGTTGAGTCAAAAAAATCCTCATTCACCATGATCCCTGAAATAAACCCTCAAAACACCTGAAAGTTTTGTTTAGTTGAGAGTTTTAAAATGTGTACTTATTTTCTGAAATAATACTATTGGAAAGAGCATGAATATGACTCAAATAAGTGAATGAATGATCATAAATCAACCTATCATTTTATTATCCTTTTATTACCCCTACCTCATCCACTTATATGCCTGCTTAAGCCAGTCTCTCCTTTTTACAAATTGCACTGTATAACTTACTTTGCCACAATAGCATTTATGTGAGTCCTCACAAGTCCCAGATATTGGTCAACCTGTGCCTACAACAAGGAAGAAAATCATGAGCACATCCAAAGTTCAAGAGGCCAAACGTAACATGAATGTTTGACTTCACACAGAACTTACCTGGTGCTTAACATACACTACAGGTAGAGTAAACATTGAAACCACAGCTGGGATGAAAAACAAATAAGAGTATTAAAATTCTGAGAGTCATCAGTATCTATAAGCTTATAGATACATGTTCATGTAGTTATGTAATATTATAGCATTTATAATAGTCAGCATTTTAGATAAAAGAGGACAGGGCAGCTCCTAAGGAAAACAAAGGGATGCTGAGCCCTTTACAGATAGTAAATCATTATCCCTAGAATGAGGGTAGATTGTGCCTTCCTAGGATGAAAATGGATTTCTGTCCACAACTGCCATTGTAATGTACATTAGAAGAAGAAAAAACCCTTCAGACTAAGAAATTCATTATTAATGTGTAATATATCTCTTATACTCTTTATTGAACTATGGTCAGGGAAATGTGCAGCATCAGGGGGATCTGGTATTTGTTCCCAGGAATCTATCAATTCAAGTGAACAGCTAGCAGCCGGGAAGCTCTATGCTCACGGAGCGTGTGAAGGAAGACGTAGCACGCTCATCTGTCCTTACCCATGAGCAGCAGGGTCAGGCCGTTGAAGAGAGCGCCAACGTAAGTCAGGAGCCACATCAGGACTGCGAACTGAAAAGTGAGATGATTATCACAGCTTCTAAAACCGTGACAGGTAAGAGTCTCATTTCATTGACTTTTTAGATTCGAATTTGAGGCAAAATATATCATGATTTCAATAGGAAATGTAGGAGCACTTAAAGCTTGTCCCAGGATTACTGAAAGAGGGTCCTGTTTACTTTTCTCAGAACCCTTTCACTTGTTTCTGTGTGGATCCATGAGCTAAGAACGGATTTCACATTTTTAAATGCTCAAATAAAAATCAAAACAAGAATAACATTTTGCTATATATGAAAATGATATAAAATTCAATTTTCAGCATTCATAAAGTTTTATTGACTCAGTGGGCAACCTAGGGCAAGTGTTTTAGCCTCTCTGAGCCACAACACCCTCCCAACATCTGTAAGATAAGGGGGTTAGCCTGCATGAGCTCCATGGGACTGTACAGCTAGAAGTTTTCTGACTCTAGAATGTAATTTGCACTTGCATTTTATTCTCCAGGATGTGGGTGCTGGAAGCCAATTCCAGCATGACAGCAGGGCTGCATCTGGGAATGGCTGAAGGCATTTCCCCAAACCTGAATAGGATACATTAAATTGATTATTTGCTGCCAGACAGCTCAGGGCATCTTAATCTACATGCTACTGCCTCCTACTGGCCAAACACCTGAACAGCTATAGACTAATTCCCCCAATCTGACAATGCCTCTGTATAGGAAACCCTGACCCTTTGAAGTGTGTATCTCTGCCTCGCCTCAGGACAAATTGTGTTAATAAAAAGCATGGGGGTCCTGAGACGAGGAGATCTTACTTTCCTTTAAACGAGGCTCCTCTGACCCCCAAATGCCTTTCAAAATTATATTTTGTCTCTGGACTCCTATTTAATCTATGCACAGCCTTGTCCATATTTCCTGAACCCTTCTTAATGCTAGAACAAGAACCCCGGCATGTGGTTTTTGGTTTATTATATTACTAGAGGCCCAGTGCACAAAATTCGTGCACTGGGGGGGGGGGGGGCGCGTCCCTCAGCCCAGCCTGTGCCCTCTCACAGTCTGGGAGCCCTCGGGGGATGTCCAACTGACGGCTTAGGTCCGCTCTCCACAGGGAGTGGGCCTAACCTGTCAGCCGGACATCCTTAGCGCTGCTGCGGAGGTGGGAGAGGCTCCTGCTGCTGCGCTTGCCAGCTGTGAGCCCAGCTTCTGGCTGAACAGCGCTCCCCCTGTGGGAGCGCACTGACCACCAGGGTGCAGCTTCTGAGTTGAGCATCTGCCCCCTGGTGATCAGTGCATGTCATAGTGACCGATCGTTCAGCCATTGGGCCGAAACTGGCTCTCTGACATCCCCTGAGGGGTCCCAGATTCCGAGAGGGTGCAGGCCAGGCTGAGGGACCCCACCAGTGCACAATCGGGGCCAGGGAGGGATGTGGGAGGTTGGCCAGCCGGGGAGGGGCCGTGGGAGGGTTCCAGGGCGTGTCTGGCTTGTCTTGCTCAGTCCCCATCGGCTGGACCCCAACAGCAAGCTAACCTACCGGTTGGAGCCTCTGCCCCCTTGTGGTCATCTGACAATGCCTCTGTACAGGAAACCCACACATAGCGACTAGTCAACCAGTCGACTGTCTGCCCCCTGGTGGTCAGTGCACGTTATAGCGAGCATTTGAGCGGCCTTAGCATATCATTAGCATACTACGCTTTGATTGGTTGAACGGCCAACTGTACGACTGGACACTTAGCATAATTGGCTTTTATTATATAGGATACCTTCAGGGGAAAAGAACAAAACTCAAGACTGTCTAGTGAGCAGCTTAAGCAATCGTACTTTTAGGGAATCCACCAGGTCCTGGACGAGGAAGAGTCTCCTCAGTTCCTTAAGCGTGTTGTTCACGTAAAACTGCAGGCAGTCCGTGTACTTCTGAATCTGCTCCTGAGAAAGGGTGATCTCGAGCTCCAAGTAGGCCCTGCCAACAAACCATCCCCACAGAGCACTCATCAGAGGGAACCACCAAACAGCTAAGTTTTCCTTCTTTCACTCTGAGTGTGACAGCTGGGTTGTCCTGGGTTGGGGAGGGGGGGGGGTGCCAGCCAGTGGGCCCAATACTCAGTGCACTGGGGAACGGGAGAATCATGGCGCCTAGTGGGGCACTGTAACCACTTCTGTTTCCCAAAGACAGCATCATAATTGAGCAACTGTCCAAAATCAGCTCATTTTCTGAATTCTCTTGATATCCCTGGCCCACCAGGTAATTGTGAAAGTCCTCATGTCTTCTTGGCTGAGTGGACATGAATTATCTTTTAAAATAGTTGAAATATCTGAAAATCCTAGCTGCCAATTATTGTTTGTCATCTAAAACTCTTAAGATGGCATATTTAAATTCTGGAAAGTTCTTCCAAGATTTTATCTAGAGAGCTCGGAAAGCTCAAGTGAGCTGGGCCATATTAAAATGCTCATGGTTCTATTAAGAGAGGAACCTTTGTTTATTTTGTTCATTAGATTCCACATGTAAGTGAAATCATACACAAGCAAATAAAATAGAAACAGACTCAGCTATTGAAAATAGAATGACAACTGTCAGAGGGGAGAGGGTTGGGGGTCTGGGTAAAAAAGGTGAAGGGAGTAAGCAAAAAACAAAAAACAAAAAAACAACAACACAAAACACCTCATAGACACAGACAACAGTATGATGATTACAAGAGGGAACAGCGTGTGGGGGGAGGTAGAAAAGGGTAAAGCAGGATATATGGTGACAGAGGAGACTTGACTTTGGATGGTGAGCACACAATATAATAGATGGTGTATTACAGAAGTATACACTTGAAACCTATGTAATTTTACTAACCAATGTCACCCCAATAATCCAATACAAAAAGATAATCATGTACATAAAGATAAATACACGCACCAAAAGAGAGAGAGAGAAAGAGAGAGGTATCTTTAGTAACTGCATTTTTCATTTGTTAAAATGGTTATATTGAACTCTTGGGTAGATAAACCAAGCTCCTCAAATATATGCAAATCAGTGCATCTTCCTGTTTGTCCATGCTCCTCACAGAGGTCCACCCTCCCTCTCTCCACCCTCCTCTGCACTAAGACAGGCCATGTTGTCTAACCAGAGGATAGCCCCAGAGCACTTCCAGTGCCTACCTAACTCTGGGAATAGGGGTGAAGAGGAAAGCAGCATTTGGCTTGAGTTTTAGGACGTTTACTAGTATATGGAAATACTATGGTTTTCTTCCATTTGGGAAAAAATAATACTGGTAGTATGTTTTGATTCGAAATGTACTCTGAGTCAGATATTTCTTTAACTGATAAAAACAGAGGAAAATCCTGCATTTTAAAATGGTCTCCTAAAGGACAAAAAAGTAGTTGAGCAAATTGTAGTTAGGCTCTTGGTCCTATACTGGGTATTGGGAGAAATAAACCAAATGAAAGATAAGTTCCCCTTGTAACTTGACTGTCTTGGGGGCCAAGAAAGCAGGAGAAACCAGCTTCTCCTGAATGGCTGACAGCAAAGGTGGGGGCAGGGTGAGACTCTAAATGTGGAGTCTCTGGTCCCATGATACTCCACTTCACTCTTCCCACCTTTGGGATGGGAACTTGTGTAGCCAAATTATAGCCCCAAAGACACTTTAACTCTGCATTAGAAGAGGCCACATGCATCCCAAGAACAAGAATGCTCAGCCTGTAACTGGGTTTGACACTGAAGCCAGGAGCCAAAAGCTGGGAAGGGACATCTGATGCACAGCCTTTTCCCTTTTGTCAACAGACCCCATAACACAGTCATCCTTCTCCCTGTAAGAGCCTGGTGCACCGAGGTCTGGATTCAGCTGACTGGTGGGTGAGCCCGATAGGGGCGGAGGCATCCGGTGAATTACTGGGGCTGGCTGAGAAATCAATTCGGCAGCACCCACCTGTGTCATCCACGAGGCGAACTGTCCCTGCTTACAGGAGGTGAGGGCACCTGCGCTCTGGGGCCAGCACCAGACCAGGGGTGACTGACGGTCAGGGCTAAAAGTGCCCGAGCTCACAATCTAGAATCAGGAGATAAATTGGGGTGCGGGTGGATGGCATGTAGCCGGCAGTGCTAATATCTCCCTTCACTACATTTCCTATATTCTCCAAGTATATTGCCTTTTAAAAAATAATTTGTTCTTCAATATGCATTCCAATCAGATCTCCCTGGTATAAAAATGCAGATGAGGGAACATTGTAAAATTGTTCATGACCCTTGCACCCTCCAGAAGATCGGCCCTTTGGTATTAAACTTCTAGAGAGAGCCTAGAAGTGAAAATCTGAACACCTGGTCCTGGCCCTGTGCTCTGGACTGGCCCTGTGGCCTTGGGTGAGTCACTTTACTGCTTAGAACCTCAGTTTCTCTACTTGTAAGTAAGGACTATAATGCCCTGCCTTCTTCACAGAATTGGGAGGATTAATTGTTGAAACACTTTTAAAATGAGAAAACATTGTGTATGTATATATATATATGTGTGTATATATATATATCAAGAATTATGATTACTATTAGGAATAATTAAATATAAAATATTAATGTTAAATATAAATTTATATTATATAAGTAAATTTATGTTAAATTTAAATATTAAGTATTTAAACCCTGGCCAGTATGGCTCAGTTGGTTGGAACGTGGTCCCATGTACCCAAGGGTTGCGGGTTTGATTCCAGTCAGGGCACATAACCCAAGTTGCCGGTTCAGAGCGCATATGTCCATATTTCTCTGTCTCTCCCCCTCCCTTTCTCTCTCTCTGAAATCAATGGAAACATATATCCTCAGGTGAGGATTAAAAATAAATAAATATTACATACTTAATTGGTAATAATTAAAATATTAAAAATCAGTAAAACAATAGGTGTTAGAATAGAGACAATTGAGTTTGTTAAAGAAATTCACCAGAAACATCGGAGATTAGAAGAGAGGGTGTTAAACGTTACCCTTAAGAGGCCTGTTAGGTCTCAGGGAAACATGACCCAAAGCGCAGGGGAGTGAAACAGCGGCAGAGGGAAAGAGCCCGGGAGAGGCTGGGCCAGGGCCGGCCTGGCCGGGGCACTCACTTGAAAGGGTGGCCCTCGTCGGTTTTCTGCACGGCTTGTAAAACAGACTTGTAGATGCGGAAACTGATGGTGGCCGAGAGCACGGCGAGGGCCAGGTAGGCCACCACGCTCACCACGCTGAACTGGGTCAGGGAGAAGAGCAGCAGCAGGAAGCTCCCGAACACTATCCCCGTCTGCTTGATGTCCCGCCAGTACAGCAGGTCAATGGCTGTGGGAGACACAGAGCACACAGCACTTAACACGGGCAGGGCCGGGACGCCGCTGCGGCCCGCTGGCAAAGCCGTGGCTGCAGGTTCTCACCGGCCTTCGGATCCTAAACCCAAGTGAGGGGACATAGGGCTTTGCCCAGGGCGCTCACTGTCATTCCATTTTGCTTTGGAAGAATCTTTTCCAGCTCTGATAACGGCTCGTAAATTCATAGATATGAAAAGGCCGTGACTCTCCAGCGACCCTATCTCTAGGAACATATCTCACTGGGCTATGCCTTCTGCAGAGTGGCCCAAATTATATGACGTTGAAGCAAAACTGAAAATACATAAGACTTTGTGAAGAGCCTGTTCCCTTGCCCGGCCGGTGTGGCTCAGTGGTTCAGCGTCCATCGATGAACCAGGAGGTCATGGTTTGATTCCCCATCAGGGCACATGCCCAGGTTGTGGACTTGATCCCCACTAGGGGGCATGCAGGAGGCAGCCAACCAATGATTCTCATCAATGATGTTTCTCTCTCTCTCTTCCTCTCCCTTCCTCTCCGAAAGCAATAAAAAAATATTATTTTTAATAAAGAACCCGCTCCCTTGTTTTTGGGTGGCATTGATTGTGTGTATTTCGAGGCCCTGCTGACAATTTTACACCTCAGTGGTGGCCTGTGAGTGCACAGCAGTCACACAAGTGTTTCTGTGCTGAGAGGGAGGAACAGCAGTGGAAAGGGAGGGCCTGGCGAAGCGGTGCCTTCCGGAGAGGGGCGGCAGGCCCAGGAGATCCCAGCCTGCCTCCAACACTGAGGGGTAGCGGCTGTACGCGACCTGTGACTTAAAAATCTGAAATACACACTTTAAAATCCACATCACATCGATCATTCAGTTATTTCCCTCTTTCAATCTTTTTAGAAAAAAATTTAAATTCAAAATACTTTCAGATAGTACCTCATTTAAACCTTACAATAAACTTTATTAGATAGGTATCCAGTAGTCACCCCTTACCCATAGTTTTGATTTCCGGGGCCAACTGTGGTCCAGAAATATTAAGTGGAAATTTTCAGAAATAAACAACTCATAAAATTTTAAATGTATGCCATTCTGAGTCAAGTGATGAAATCGCAAGCCCTTGTGCTCTGTCCCACCCAGTATGTGAATCCTCCTTTCGTCCAGCGAATCCACACTGTTCATGCTCCAAACCTGTTAGTCATTAGTAGTTTCTACATTATCAGATGGACTGTGGGGGTATCACAGTGCTTGTGTTCAAGTAACCCTGTTTTACTTACTAATGACCCCAAAGCCATTCACATAGCTTTTATTACAGTATATTGTTATAACTGTCCTATTTTATTATGTTATTGTTGTTAATCTCTTACTGTACCAAATTTATAAATTAAACTTTATCATAGGAATGTATATTTAGGAAAAACATAATACACAGAGTTCAGTACTATCCAAGGTTTCAGGCACCCATGGAAGTCTAGAGATGTATCCCCCACAGATAAGGGGGACTGCTATATAACAGGTGAGGAAGGTAAAAGTTGAGAAACTTGTCTACTGACTAGTTAAGAGGAAAAGCAAGATCAAAACCTAAGTGTGAGGCTTCTTTTCCAAAACAAAACAGTTGTATCTCTCACATATTTGGTTATATATTAAATGTCCCCAAAAGTCTGCAAAATTAATTTAGGCAACCTGATTATGTTTAAATCTGTTTCTAGAGTTAGGTATTTAAAATAACATTTTTTTTTTTAAGTGAAAGTGACTCATCAGCAGTAAATAGTCATTGGTTATCTATTTACCTAGTAATTGCAGGAATGAAAATATAAAATTTTGTTCCTGCTTTTAAGAATCTAGCCTGGCCGGTGTAGCTCAGTGGTTGACCATCAACATATGAACCAAGAGGTCACAGTTTGATTCCCAGTCAGGGCACATGCTCAGGTTGCAGGCTCAGTCCCCAGTAGGGGGCGTGCTGGAGGCAGCCGATCAATGATTCTCTCTCATCATTGATGTTTCTATCTTTCCCTCTTTCTTTCTCTCTCCCTCTCTGAAATCAATAAAAATATATTTTAAAAAAAGAATCTAGCTGGGAAGATTGGACATTCACTTAAAAATGTATCAGTGCCAGTGTATCTTGTGTTGTTGGAGGTGGTAAAAGGTGATTTCAAGGAAGGGATAGTACTGGGACTGATGACAGTGGACCTGGGATGGTTTGCGAACGTGGGAGCAATTTGTTGAGAAGATGGGGTGGATAAAGGGAAATATTATGAGGGATTCGTTGACAAGAACGGTGACTAATTAGCTGTGGGAGAAAGGAGGAAGAGCTAATTAAGGGTGAAAGCCACATTTCCAAGCTGGGTGAGTGAGGGATTAATGTCACCGACAAAAGCAGGAAATCCGAGGGTGAGCTGGTTTGAGGAAAAGCGGACACTTGGTTTTAAACCTCTGGGTTCCGACATGATGACACCAACGCAGGGTATTTTGGCATAGCCGGGGGCAGAGATGGAATAGGGATCAGGGATGAGTTGAGACTGACAATTACACGCCATACGCATTACTTTTTTTAAAGCTTGGAAATTAAATGATTTTTCCTAGGATTTGTTAGAGTATTTGTGAGTTAAATGCCAGTAATATCATATTCCAATGCTATTCAGATGAAGGTATGCAGTAGGCACTTGGAAATGCAGGACTGAAGTTTAGTAAAAAGGACTGAACACTTATATTTGGCTGCAGTCTGAGTGGAAATGATGATCGAAGTCATGAGTAGAGAAAACCTCCAAGAGAGGAGAGACTAAGGGATGCAATTGTGGTTGAGTAGGTGCTGGGAAATTCAAAGTAATAAAGAAGATGGTAAATAGAATGGTAGTTTGAGGAGTCGTAGCAACAAGTTAACCTTGAGGTTGAGTGAAACCTGGAAATGTTAGTGGAGAGGGCAGGCGGGGGCAACGGACATGTGTTGAGGTGGAAAGGGAATAACGAAGTGGCTGGAGGCAGATTTGAGTCCTGAGGTCTTCCTGAGACTGCGGCGACTGGGATAGGACTTGAAGAGACCAGGAAAAGTCAAAGACCTGTGTTATTCACTGCAGTTGTGGGGAGCCAAGGTGGCTACTGAGTGAAATGTGGCTGGTCCATTTGGAAAAACTGTGTATCCAATTTCAGGCTTAGTCCAGAAAAGGATGTAAATAAAGTATCTCATTAATGCTGTTCATATTGATTTTTTTGATGTTGAGAGGCTAATCCTCTGGGTATGTTGGATTAGATAAAATATATTATCAAAATTAATTTTATCTGTTTCTTTTTTAATATAACTAGAATATTTCAAATTACTTATGTGTCTTGTTAGCTGAACAGCCCTGATCTAGAAAAATATAGTAAAGATTCCAAAAGAAATGGATGAAAGGACTGCCAGAAAGTAAAGAGGGTCTGGTTCAAGTGGAGGATCTCTAGAGCAGTGATGGCGAACCTTTTGAGCTCGGCGTGTCAGCATTTTGAAAAACCCTAACTTAACTCTGGTGCCGTGTCACATATAGAAGTTTTTTTGATATTTGAAACCATAGTAAAACAAAGATTTATATTTTTGATATTTATTTCATATATTTAAATGCCATTTAACAAAGAAAAATCAACCAAAAAAATGAGTACGCGTGTCACCTCTGACACGTGTGTCATAGGTTCGCCATCACTGCTCTAAAGGGTCCAGTCAGCAAAGTTCGAGACTGGTGTTCTGAGCAGCAGGCGGTGGAGCTGAGCCAGGGCTCTGAACTGGCACAAGGAGCATGGTTAGAGGAGCTGAAGATCCAAGAGGACAGAATTGGAATGAACACCCTGGGCCCGGGCTGGGAATGAGAGGCAGTGAAGACCATTGGGCGGATGGGCTGGGACAGCTGTGGGCAAACTACAGCCCGCGGGCCGGATCCGGCCCGTTTGAAATGAATAAAACTAAAAAAAAAAAAGACCGAACCCTTTTATGTAATGATGTTTACTTTGAATTTATATTAGTTCACACAAACACTCCATCCATGCTTTTGTTCCGGTCCGGTCCAGTTTAAGAACCCATTGTGGCCCTCGAGTCAAAAAGTTTGCCCACCCCTGGGCTGGGAGAATGGCAATGGCTGTGTGTTGTCAGAGTGCTGGCAAATGGCCCGAAGCTCCGATGATTCAGCGGGAAGGGTAGGAAGTGATGGGGTGTGATCAGAGAAGAGAATTTCTGTGTTCCCAGTCTGCTGTGCAAATGCCAAGTTTTCACATTTTAATTTTGCTTACGGTGATGTAAGCTTGTGTAGGAAGCTTTATCGCACCCAATCCAGAAAAATGGATATTTGAATACAATTTCCTTAGAACCTACGTTCAAAAACTACCAATAACTCTGTAACTGCAATAAATTACCCAAAGTCGTCATTGGGTCCAACAAAGTATAGGTAGCTTTTCTCTTCTTTCAATATCCTCCTAATGTAGAAAGGCCAGATGAGAGGTTGTACACCAGAGTACACATTCACTAGGCATGCTCACCAACACAGGCAAATTACTGTATTGTTTTGCCAATTGTGAGAATTACGAGTTACTTTGCCAAGAACCATATGGCTTTGGAATAAGAGATCAGTGTGTCCTATCAACCTGATAAATGGACTGGGTTCGGTGATCTCATCTCAGTCCCCAAACCACAGGTGGGGGCACACCTCAGCCTGCCTGGGGCTGACTTAGTGCTAATTCACCTCAAGGGTGAACTGGCAAATTTGAAATACTGAAATCAGTGCTACCCGCACTTCCATAATCCAAGCAAGAACAGAAGAGGAAAATAGAAGTGATCCAAGGTTTTAACTAATAGCTAAATGGAAATAAAATGCTATGTCAAATTTCTAGAAAACAGTCCTTTGATGCAGTCCAAAATTTTTTGGTTTGTGAAACTATTATAAATGTATTCCATTATGACCTAATAGTGGTTGCAGTACTCAGAAAATTTATTAAAAATGTAGGAAGTAAGAAGACAGTGGTGCAGATATTCAAATTTCATTTAGAAG